TTGATGGCGGACTTCAGGCCGCGCCCCCTGCCTGATGGGGCTTGACGGGGGACCTCAGGTTGCACCTCCCGCCCCAGCGCTGGTCTGGGGGACCCCAGGCCATGACCCCTGCCCCAGCGCCAGCCCGGAGGACCTGAGGGTGTGCCGGGGGACCTGAGGCTGCGCCCCTTCCTGGCGGGGCTTGACGGGGGTGGGGCTGGCCAGGTCTGGGTCTCACGTGATTTCAAAGTGCACACAGGTGTGCCGGGACTTGACTCTGAGTCCCATGGCATGCCCCAGACTGACAGGAGGAAGATTTTCATATACATTTTACTAATTTTCTTTCATCTCTGACACTTCTATTATAGAGAAAGGGCAAATAGCAATATTAAAATATTTCCTCTAATTAATTCCCTTTTTATGTGCATGAATTTTGTACACCGGGCCACTAGCGTTGAATAAGAGTGGTGAGAGTGGACATCCTTATCTTGTTCCTGATCTTAGAGGAAAAGCTTTCAGTGTTTCAACATTGAGTATGATATTAGATGAGGGTTTATCACACATGGCCTTTATTATATTGAGGTACTTTCCTTCTATTCCTATTTTATTGAGTGTTTTAATCATAAATAGCTGTGGTATCTTATCCGATGTTTTTTCTGATCATAGGATTTTTATTCTTCTTTTGTTAATGTGGTGTGTTACATTAATTGATTTGCGTATTTTGAACCATCCTTTGCCCCTGGAATGAACCCCACTTGATTGTGATGTATTATTTTTTTGATGTACTGTTGTATTTGATTTTGCTAGACTTGGTTTAGGATTTTTTTTAAAAAATATATTTTATTGATTTTTTACAGAGAGAAAGGGAGAGGGATAGAGTTAGAAACATCAATGAGAGAGAAACATCGATCAGCTGCCTCCTACACACTCCCTACTGGGGATGTGCCCACAACCCAGGTACATGCCCTTGACCAGAATGGAACCCGGGACCCTTCAGTCCGCAGGCCGACGCTCTATCCACTGAGCCAGACCGGTTAGGGCTGTTTAGGGTTTTTATATTTGTATTCATCAGAGATATTGGTCTGTAATTTCTTTCTTTGTGATATCTTTGCCAGGTTTTGGTATCATGGTTTTGTTGGCCTCATAGAATGTGTTAGGAAGTATTGCCTCTTCTTCAATTTTTTGGAAGAGTTTGAGAAGGATATGTTTTAAATCTTCTTTGAACGTTTGGTAGAATTCACTGGTGACGCCATCTGGTCCTGGACTTTATTTTTTGGAAGGTTTTTGATGGTTGTTTCAATTTCCTCACTACTGATTGGTCTATTTAGATATTCCAGTTCTTCATGATTTAGACCAGGAAGGTTATATAATTCTAGGAACTTACTGAATTTGGTGGCATATAGTCCTTCATAATATTCTAGTACGATCCTTTGTATAACTGTGATGTGGTGACTTCTCTCTCATTTCTGATTTTGTTTCTGTGGGTCTTTTCCTTTTTCCTTAGTTGAGTCTAGCCAGTTGACATCTGTCGGTCTCCCTCACGCTTTAGCTCTGATGTGTGGTACATGTATTAGTTATTTGTCACTATGTAACAAATTACCCCAAATTTACTGGATAAAACAACACCCACTGTCTTGCAGTGTCTGTCTCTGGTTTTCTCTTTAGGCTGGAATCAAGGTGCCTATTGAGCTGTGGTCTCGTCTGTGAACAGCACCCCGAGTGGGTGCTGGTCGCAGGATTTGGCGCCACGGCGGCCGTGGGCTGGGGCTACCTCACTTCCATGCCACGTGGGCGTCCCCAGGGGACAGTTCACAGTATGGCAGCTTGCTTCATCCGAGCAAGCAAGTAGGAACAATAGTGTGAGCGAGATTGGTATCATCATCTGTAAAGGGTTGAACAGTTCAGATCCCCGGAACCCCAGCACGTGAACTACGTGTTAACAGGGTCTTTCAGATGTAACTAGTTAGGGATTGTGAAATGAAATCACAGATTCGGAGCAGAGCGAGCCCTGAATGACTAGTGGCCCCGAGAAGAGGAGAGGTCAGACACGCACCCAGGGCCCCACGAGGGGAGGGAGGGAGGATGCTGGCAGTGGCCGCGAGCTGGGAGGGAGGCATGGGGTGGTTCTCCCTCAGAGGGAGAACCTGTTGGCACTTTAATTTCAGTTCCTGGCCCCAGAATTATGAGGAAATGGATTCGTTTTCAGCCACCAGCGTGTGGTCATTTGTCATGGCAGCCCTAGGAGATGAACCCCCTGCCTTTTGGAGCCACTTCTGGGATGTGACACTTCTCCATGTTCTCTGTTCATTCACTTGTGAATTCCAGGAGGCAGGGTCACTGGCAGCCGTTTTGAAACTGTCTAGTTACCATACTCTAAGGCCACAATTTCATTGTGTTTTTTTTTCTTTTTAACAACTTCACTTGACATACAGTTCACCCGTTTAGAATTTACAACTCAGTATTTTTCAGTATGTTCATAGGGGTGTGCATTTATCACCACAATGTAAGACATTTCTGTCCCCTCGCCCCCACTCCCAAATAAAACCCTGTGTCCAGTAGCTGTCATTCCCTATTTTGTAGCCCTAGGCAATCAGGTACCGTCTGTCTGGAGGAAGGCAGAAAATCATATCACAGTGGTTTGTGGTCCTCCAAAGCTTAACCCTACATGACAAAATTAAAAATTTTTTTTCAATTACTGTTGACATTCAGTATTATATTACTTCTAGGTGTACATCATAGTGATTAAATATTTCTGTATCTTACGATGTGATCCCCTAAGAAGTCTAGTACCCACCTGACACCACCCATAGTTATTCCAATATTATTATTGTTGGAGGGTATTTTTAAATAATATTGGAATCCTCGTTGGAGGGTATTTTTTCCATTGATTTATAGACAGAGTGGGAGGGAGGAAGGAGGGGGGAGAAAAACCCTGATGTGAGAGAGTCACAGCGATTGGTTGCTCCCCCACGTGCCCTTACTAGGCTGGGGAACCTGCAACCAAAGTCTGTGCCCTTGACTGGGAATCAAGCCCACAGCCCTTCAGTGCATGGGCTGACGCTCTAACCACTGAGCCATTGGCCAGGGCTATTACAATATTACTGACTTTATTCCCTGCCAGTTTGTACTCAAATCCCCCCCACCCCTTTCAGTTAGTCACCCACCCTCATCCCATCTGGCAGCCATCAGTTAGTTCTCTGCATCTATGAGTTTATTTTTTAGATTCCACATGTAAGTGCAATCCTGTGATATTCATCTTCCTCTGTGTGATTTATTTCACCGAGTGTAATACCCTCTAGGTCCACCCATGTTGTTGCAAATGGCAGCTTTGTTCCTTCTTATGGCCGAGTCGTATTCTCTCATGTACATACACACACCACATCATTCTTATCCATCCATCCATCAGTGCACACTTAGGTTGCGTCCTTGTTTTGGCTGTTGTAAATGCGCTGCAGTGAACATAGGAGTACATGGTCTTTTCAAATTAGTGTTTTGAATTTCTTGGAATAAATAACCCAGAAATAGAAATGCTGGGTCATACAGTTATTCTGTTTTTAATTTTCTGAAGGCGCCTCCATGTTGTTTTCCTTGGCGGATGCACCAATTTACAATTCCATCCCTGGTGCACAAGGGTTCCCCTTTCTCCACATCCTCACCAATGGCTTAAATCCCACATATTTTTGTTCCTTTGAAAATTTCCCTGAACTTGTAAGTAATCATATTGAAGGTCTAATCTATAATACACAACACTCTTTTAGGATAAGCTGAACATTTACCTTATCCTACTTTGGATACCTGCTCCTCCTACTCCCGATTACGCTTCACTATTATTTTCCCCACACAATATCCTTTTAGCTTTGCCCATGTGCTTACACCCATCTCTTCATTTACCACTGGTTTCTGTAACCAGTTCTTCTTTCTGGACTCACTTTATACATCTTTCGGCATTTCTCCCCACAGGGCCTGTGTGTAATGAGTTGTGTGTGCATGGCTGGAATTGCGTTTATCTTACCTTCTGAGTGCTAGCTCAGTTAGGTATATAAATCTAGGCTGACCATCTCCTTCAGGATTTTGAAAACGTTACTACTTTGTCTTCTGCAGATGAGATGTCTGCTGGCAGTCTAACACTAGTTCCTTGACAGTGGAATGAACAAGGTCTTTTCTCACAGCTTTCAGGTTATGCTCTGAATCAGTGTGTCGTGTGGGTTTATTGATCCCTTTAAATCTGAGGAGCTACTTCTGGGAAATCCCGAGGGCCTGTTAGGTTTCCTGTGGGTGGTGCATGTCCGTATGTATTCTCCCCTTTTGGAAATGTGTCATTCTATTTTAACTTTCCTCGTATTTCCATTTTTAATCTCTCCCTGCTGCATGCTGACTACCTTAAGCCTTCCGATTCACTGGTTCTGTGTTTAGTAAAATCTCATCTGTTAAACCTGTAAAGGTGTGTTTGTTTCGATGATGATGCTCTTCAAATCTAGAATGTCTATCTGGTCCTTTTTGAAATCTCCGTTATTCTGTAAACTCCGTTGGCTTACCTTGAGGTTTCTATTGCTTCTTTCCTCTCTTCACGTATGTGGTGCAGATTCCAGACAGCGCCTGACTGCTCTCACCTCGCCATGGCCGGTTCCTTGTGGGAGTCATTCCCTAGCACCTGGAGGAGGAGGGGAGGGCCTTCCCACATCAGCCTATAATTACCAACAGGAAGAAGGGGTCTTTCTTTCCATAGACAGACAGACCCCTGCGGGGTGGGCCCTGTCATCTCTTCTGGGTGCTTGATATCCATGTAGTTTCTGAGAATTTTTCAACATATTCATGACCTTTGTGAACCTGAAGTAGTCACTAAACTATTAATCTTGTCAATAAAGGAGTCTTCATTCAGAGGGCGAAAAAGATGAAATATTGTCAGTCTTATAAAACACCAAAGAAAAGGTGACACATGAATTCTTACAAATAGTTTAATTTCATTTTTATCTTGGAAAAGCAATGTAAGTTTAAAATGAAATAACAAGTACTTTGATATGTCATTTTTTATGGTACTACATTTATTGAAAGTGTGAAGATACAGAACCTTTATAAATATCTAGAATTAAAAATTACCTATGAAGATAAAAACAGATTGGTTTTAAAAAGTCAATTTAGTAAATATTCTGTTTGCTATGTTTCTATGACAATATTTGGTATAAACACTACAAAATAAGGCAAACTTCTGGAAAAAGTCATTAATAAAATTTTATGAAAAAGTGTTCAGTCCTAATTTCTTTTAATTTGTAGAATCGCTGGCAAAGTACATCAGGCGAGTAGAGCAGTTTCAGAGGTCCAGTTTCAGACAGAAGGAGCCTTCTCCTGTAGAAACAGCGTTTCCTGATTAGCATAAATTGGATAAAAATTTCACATGTACAAGTATCTCTATCGGGCCCTGGTGGAGCATCATCCTGACAACAAAAGGTTGCAGGTCTGATTCCGTGTTGGGGTGCGTATGGTGAAGGCAACCAACAGATGTTTCTCTTCCTCTCTAAAATCAGTAAGCATGTGAAAATAAGTATACACTAAATATTACATATTTAATGAATATGAATCATGTAAATTTGGTCATACCATTTAAAGTTGGCTTTGAAGTATTTTTAAACTCTTAGAAAGTATTGAAGTTGTAATAAACACTTTAATAATTGATACTAGTAATCCACCTCAAAATTTGTGGTTGAAGTAACCATCAGTAGCTTCTATGATGTGGAACAAGGTTAGAATGCCATAAGGTGTTCTCAGAGCTGAACCCTGTGAGAAACTGTTTGCCACATGCAGGATTTCACGGTAAGTTTGAGAGGTTTTCAGTTCCTCTACAAGTTTCACCTTGACCTTCAATATATTCGCCTTCGCCTACTTCACCCTTCTCCTTCACGACCAACCACCTTGACCCACCTCAACCTTGAACATCATGTGCATAACCTTTACCTGTCCACACCCTTCATCTTTGCCCCCTTCATCAACTTCACTCTTGCTTTGAATTTCACCTTCAATTTCAACACCTTCACCCTCACAATGTCTATATTCACCTTGACCCCTGTCACCTCAACTTTCACTGCCTTCACTACCTTCATCTCAATTTGAAATTAACTACTTTTCCTTTACTGATGCAACATTCACTACCTTCACCTTAAAGAACTTTACCACTTTCACCACCTACACACTCCCTTTGACTTCATCATCTTCAACACATCTTTACCCATGTAACCTTTACCCACCTCAACAGAAACCACCTTCCCTCACCATCTTCACTTTCATAACCTTCACCATCTTCATCCTCACCCTCACCTTGAACTTCACCATTCCCTTGACCTGCACCACTGTTACCCGAGTTTCACTACTTTTGCCCCCTTCACCTTCACTTTTACCGCCTTCATCTTTGCATATCAATTTCACCACCTTCACCTTCATCATCTTTACCCTTTGAATTCACCATCTTCATCTAATTCCTTCCCTGATGCCACCTATATATTCACCTTGATCATTTCACCACCATCACCTTCCACCACAATTTTACTATTTTCACTACCTTCATCCTCACTTTGAATTTCATATTCACCACCTTTTATTGTTTCCACCTGCTACTTGATCAGTGGTTCTCAACCTTCCTAATGCTGCGACCCTTTAAAACAGTTCCTCATGTTGTGGTGACTCCCAACCATAAAATTATTTTCGTTGCTGTTTCATAACTGTCATTTTGCTACTGTTATGAATCGTCATGTAAATATCTGATATGCAGGATGTATTTTCATTATTACAAATTGAACATAATTAAAGCATAGTGATTAATCACAAAAACAATATGTAATTATATTTGTGTTTTCCAATGGTCTTAGGCGACCCCTGTGAAAGGGTTGTTCGACCCCCAAAGGGGTCGCGACCCACAGGTTGAGAAACGCTGTACTTGATCTTCACTGCCTTCCCTTTCACTCACCTCCTTCACTGCTGCAACCTTCCTCTTGACACTACCTTCACACTCTTCCTTATCCATGGCAACCTTTGTTGCACTTGACTTTCACCACCTTTGCCCTCACTTTGAACTTAACCACTTTCACCTTGACCTTACCACCTTCTTTTTACCACCTACATTTTCACCGTGGCCACTTCACATTGACCTTCAACCACCTCCTTCACTGGCAAAGTTCACCTTCACTACCTGCCCCTTGAGATTCACCACCATTGCCTCCTTCGTCTGACCTGCACCACTTTACCCCACCTTATCCCCTGTTGCCACCTTCAACATCACATTCACTACCTCTACCTTCATCCTCAACTTCACTATCTCCTCTTCCTTCACCTTTACCTGTATCACCTTTACTCCCTCACTTTTTTTTAAAATAAATCTTTATTGTTCAGATTATTACAGTTGTTCCTCTTCCCCACCCCCCCATAGCTCCCCTCTGCCCTTACCACCCACACTGTCCTCATCCATAGGTGTACCATTTTTGTCCAGTCTCTTCCCACACCCCTTTCTCCCCTGAGAATTGTCAGTCCACTCCCTTTCTATGCCCCTGATTCTATTATATTCACCAATTTACTCTGTTCATCAGATTTTTTATTCACTTGATTTTTAGATTCACTTGTTGATAGATGCGTATTTGCTGTTCATAATTTGTATCTTTACCTTTTTCTTCTTCCTCTTCTTAAAGGATTCCTTTCAGCATTTCACATAATACTGGTTTGGTGGTGATGAACTCCTTTAGCTTTTTATTATCTGTGAAGCTCTTTATCTGACCTTCAATTCTGAATGATTGCTTTGCTGGGTAAAGTAATCTTGGTTGTAGATTCTTGCTATTCATCACTTTGAATATTTCTTGCCACTCCCTTCTGGTCTGCATAGTTTCTGTTGAGAAATCAGCTGACAGTCGTATGGGTACTCCCTTGTAGGTAACTGACTGTTTTTCTCTTGCTGCTTTTAAGATTCTTTGTCTTTTGCCCTTGGCATTTTAATTATGATGTGTCTTGGTGTGGTCCTCTTTGGATTCCTTTTGTTTGGGGTTCTCTGCGCTTCCTGGACTTGGAAGTCTATTTCTTTCACCAGGTAGGGGACGTTTTCTGTCATGATTTCTTCAAGTAGGTTTTCAATATCTTGCTCTCTCTCTTCTTCTGGCACCCATATAATTTGGATTTTGGTACGCTTGAAGTTGTCCCAGAGGCTCCTTACACTATTCTTGATATTTTTGGTTTCTTTTTTCATTTTGCTTTTCCGGTTGGATATTTTTTTGCTTCTTCATATTTCAAATCTTTGACTTGATTCTTGGGATCCTCTTGTCTGTTGTTGGATCTCTGTATATTATTCTTTATTTCAGTCAGTGTATGCTTAATTTCTAGTTGGTCCTTTTTCATATCCTCGAGGGTCTCACTAAATTGATCAGCGGTTTCTAGAAAATTCTTGAAAAACCTTATAACCATGGTTTTGAACTCTATATCCAGTCATTTGCTTTCCTCCATTTCTGTCATTTGTGACCTGTTTCTTTGTCTCTGCATTTTTTATGCTTCCCTGTGTTGGCAGAGTGGCTTTGTGTGCTAGGTGTCCTATAGGGCCCAGTGGCTCAGCCTCCCCAATTACCTGGGGTGGACACTCTTGGTGCATCCCTTTGTGGGCTGTGTGCATAGTCTTGTTGTAGTTAAGCCTTGATTGTTGTAGGTATCACTGGGATGAACTGACCTCCAGGCCAATTGGGTGGGAGAACTTCTGTGCCGAAGACACCCTTATGGGGAAGACTTGCTTCAGTGGGGCTTTGGTGTTCCCTGAGTCTGCCCCCTGAGTGTACCCCTTATGGATCTGAGGAGTTGTAATCTGGATGGTCTCACTCTGACCACTGGGTACACTGGCTCTTGGATCTAAGGAGGTGCTAATTTAGCCTCTGCCTGAGGCTACCCAGCAGGAGCTACTGAGAGATCTGCAGGTTCCTCTTCCTTGTTTGGGTTTTGGAGGTGCCCAGATGAGGCCCAGCTGTGAAGCAATGCAAGCTGCTGTGGGGCCTTGGGCCTTCTTTTGGATGTTCTGGGTCTTTCTGAACCAGCTGCAGTTTGTTAGGTAATTTTAGATCTCAAAGGGCCAGGCCTTTCATATGCAAAAGTCTCTGCCGCAGCCTGGGTGGGGCCGGGTCTCAGGGAATCAACAGGTTGGAGCAAACAGCTATGGCTGCTCCTCAGTCCTACCCTAAGAGGCCCCAGGTCTCAGTGTCCCGGTAATCGCTGCAAGCACCTCTGAGAGAAAGCCGCCCTTGAGTTCCGCCCAATGCCAGACAGTCCAGTTTCTCCCCGCATGAGTCTGGGTCCCCAGAGACTCGCCCGTTACTGGAGTCAGGGCCGTCGGGAGCTTGTGCCTCCCTCCCGATTGCAAAAGACACTGGCGTCCTCCGTTGCCAGCCCCATTCCGCACGCTCGAGCCTCCGTACCTCTGCACTTTACTTCCGCAGTTCCTCTGGGTCTCAGTGTGCTTTTCTCTTTCCTTCTAGTTGTAGAATTTCCACTCAGCCAGCCTTCCTGTGGTTCTGGATGATGTTTGTCTTTTAGTTGTAGCTTTGAAGTGGTTGTGTGAGGCAGCAATTTCCGGTGTTTACCTATGCCGCCATCTTGGTTTTCTCTCTTACTCCCTCACTTTCATCCTCAATTGAACTTTTCCATTTTCACGTTGACCACCACATTTGACCCCATCATCTCCTTACCTTTGCTGCTTTCAGCTTGACATTCACAATGACTTTCAGCACCTTGAGATTCACCATTTTCACCTCCATCTTGACCTGAACCAACTTTATCACCTTCACCCTCACTATGGACTTTTACCACCTACACCCCTTTTCACCACGAGGGTGAGGATCGAGGTGGCAAAGGTGTAGGAGGTGGGTGAACATGATAGTGGTCAAGGCAGGAACCCTCTGCCCAGCAAACTGAAAACCCACAATGAGTCTGAGGTCAATGTTGGCTACAAAATGTGGCTCTCACTGACTCCACAGCTGCCTCCTCTTCTTAGTCTGTGTGATACTGATAAACCAAGGAAGCCCAACCAGCGAGGCCCAGGGGTTGAGCGTCAACCTATGAACCAGGAGGTCATGGTTCAATTCCCAGTCAGGGCATATATCTGGGTTGTGGGCTCAATCTCCAGTGTAGGGCGTGCAGGAGGCAGCTGATCAGTCTCTTATCATTGATATTTCTCTCTCTCTCTCTCCATCTCCATTCCTCTCTGAAATCAATAAAATATATTTTAAAAAAACAAGGAAGAGGGTTCACATACTATTTTGGTTCAGGAGGTGGTCGGACGCCCCGCAGCTTCTTTTCGTCGAGTCCTTTCCAGTATTTAAAATTGTTGTCCAGGTGCTGCAGTAACTCCTGTAGGTCTACAAAGTCTGAACAAACAGGGGAATGTGAGCTCTCCTCACAGCCTCAGCTTAGAGCAGGGTCCTCCGACTACGGCCGCGGGCCACATGCAAATACAGACATTGTGTTTGTTCCCGTTTTGGTTTTTACTTCTAAATAAGATATGTGCAGTGTGCATAGGAATGTGTTCATAGTTTTTTTTTAAACTATAGTCCGGCCCTCCAACGGTCTGAGGGACAGTGAACTGGCCCCCTGTTTAAAAAGTTTGAGGCCCCCTGGCTTAGAGGCTCGGGCTTCCTAAGGAGAGAGCATGCGGAAGGAGGAGGAGGACAGGCATATGCAGGATGCTAAGGGCCCACGTGTACTAAAGGCAAGCCCTGCACTCATGCCAGCATCTCCTCTAGGACTTGCTCAGCTCACAACTCCGATCAGTAAAACAGGGAGCACTTCTGCTTAATTTACCATAATCAGCACCTTTGGGGCTGGGCTGTCAGGAACAAAGCATCGAGAGCCCCCACCTTACAGCGATGCCAGGAGACAGCAGGCTGCGAGTCCCTCTCCTGTTGGTGCTCCCACCCCTTGCACTGCAGACCACATCTGCCTGCCCTGCAGCCCTTCCCCCAAGTGCAGTCCCATGGCGGGCAGAGCAGGTTCCCAGAGGGGCCCCTTTGCGGAAAAGGGGCCTCTGTCAGGGCAGCGGCTGGAGCAAGTGGCTCCAGGGACACCGTGGGGTGTGGAGTCAGTGTTCGTGGTTGTGAATCCTAGTTTCTCTGCTACTCTCTGTGTGGCCACAGTTCATCTCTCAGCTCTGAAACTAGCATGACAACCACCCCTTGGAGGGGCAGTTAATGAGGATGTGCACATGCCCCGGCCTCAGGGCCCGGGCGATAGCTTGTTCATCTCAGTCTTTCTGGAAAGTGTAAGCCCCAAGCATGACCTGGAGTCACATACAGAATACAGCACTCGCTACTTGCTGCGCTGTCCTGACATCTGGGAAAAGTCCTCTAAGCGTCCTTACCGTCCCAAGCATGGTACATGTCTGTGACGAAGTAGTCGATGAAGGAGATCTGGGACTTGGGGATGCTGCAGGTGTTTCGGTCAAAAGCTGGCATCGCCACAGTTAAGTCCAGCTTCTTTTCTTCTTCCGTCTGCAGAGCAGAAAATGCCAGAATTATGAGTCTCAGTGCCTGCTCCACTCCTAGAGCCCAGGGAGCTTGTGGTGAGAAGCCGACCGGGAGCCCCTGCCACCAGATTCCAAGTTGTTCCCCGAGCGGGGCCGGCTCTGCCAGGAGGGCCTCAGGACCCCCCACCCACATTCTCAGCGCCGGAAAGCCTCCTGCCGAAGCTCCTCAGTTAAGATTCCGAATGGCACCTGCGCCCACTAGCTGCCACCCTCCCCGCAGCCACCGTTCCAGCACCTGCCACAGCACGCAGGGGTGAGGGAGACACAGCCCCCCACAGCATGGGGTCTGGTGGCTGTTCTCGTCTCCGGCCGCATTATCTTATCGAAAGATTCTGAACACCCTGAGATGCGTGCCGCAAAACAGACAAACATCACTCGGAGGTGAAGCGCTTTATGTGCAGTCACGTTTCCTTAGGAGAACATCACGGAGCGCCTACGCTACCAGCCTGTGCGGCTTGTTGGGCCATAGACAGTGCTCCCTGTGCATCTCTGTAAGGGAAAATGGTGCCCTGTACAGGGCGCTTAGCAGGACTGGGTGCTGCTGTGGGTGAGCAGTGAGAGAGGCTGCACATCACTGCCCAGAACTACAGATTTTACATACAAGCCCTTCCCTGCCTCCTGCCGCCAGTCAGACATAGGACACGGAAGCTGCCAGTGCTGATCGGGAATTACTGGGAGGATCCGGGAGAAACTAGCCACGGGGTGAGGCGAGATCACCGTAGTACACTGACGGGAGGGAGTGAAAGGTGGCCTGAGGATCAGTAGGAACAGAAAATCAAGAGGGAGAGAGAGAAATACAGGCGACTGGCATGGCCACGTGAGTTTGGCTGTTGCATGTTGGAACAGTCGTCAGATTAAGGAATTTTGTGTTGTTTATAAAAAGAGGGTGTTTAGCCCTAACCGGTTTGGCTCAGTGGATAGAGCGTCAGCCTGCAGACTGAAGGGTCCCAGGTTCGATTCCGGTCAAGGGCATGTACCTTGGTTGCGGGCACATCCCCAGTGGGGAGTGTGCAGGAGGCGGCTGATCGATGTTTCTCTCTCATGTTTCTAACTCTCTATCCCTCTCCCTTCCTTTCTGTAAAAAAAAAATATATATATATATTTTTTTTTTTTTTTAAAAAGGGGGTGTTTAACATTATTTGGACTTTGGAAATGTTTTTTGTTCCACTGACCCTCTCTGCTCTCCTGCACTGAACTGATGGAAGAAATGGAACTCCCATGCTTTACATCGTTACACCCTGAAAATATGTCCCAAGTGCAGGGCCAGGCTGGACCCATCCAACCGCAGAAGGTCTGTGAGAAGTGGCAGGGCCTTAGCACCGGTTAAAGGAGGTCCTGACGACCTGTGTCCTTGTCCAGGGTCTCGGGTCCTCAACAGTCACAGCGCTGCACCCTCAAGGCCGTCAGCACCGGCTGTGGCGCGGGGACGGGCTCCTTAGTGCTGAGACAGGTCAGTGGCTGAGTGAATAGGGTGTAAGCTGTGCTCTCAGAACTGAGAGGCTGTGACCGTGAGAGCGAATCTACTGCCACCCCCACAGATACGGCTCCCACCACAGGGAAGGGGAAATGGAGGCCCTTAAGAGGCAGTGTCTTACCTGAGAAAAGTACTCCTCCGAGATGCGTGCAGCCCACTCGATGCACTGCTCCAGGGGCCGGCAGGGGTTGGACACGTCCGCGCACTTGATCATCATCCGCTTGATCAGAGTCCGGTTCTCTGGAGACCGGAGCATCGTGTCTACGTCAGGAGGGTTTGGCTCACTCCCCTGGAACATGGACGTTTAGCGATCAGCGTGGGCCCGGGTGCCACGCCCGCCTCACTGGCCCGGCCCCACTGTGAGCACGAGGCACTGTATGTGGTTCTCTCTGTGGCAGGCGGGGAGCAGGTACAGGCCACAACCAACTCTGTCCTGGGGGCAGGGCAGGGGCGTCTGAACCCTTGTCCGTGGGAAGCAGGGAGTCAAAGGCTGACAGGGAGACCAGGTGAAGGGAGCTGAGTCCTCGGCAGGACGTGCGAAGGGTAATAAGCCAGAAAGCCAGGGAGAGACACAGGAGCGCAGAAGTAAACCGGGGTCCTAGCCTCACAGACGGGGTACTGGTGGGGGCTGGGCCGTGGTGGGAAAGGGCTTCAGTGCACAGGGCGAGGTGGTGGGCAGACGGGGGCCCCGGAAAGAATCGGTGCTTTTTGTAAAATCTACTCCACTAGATCCACCGTGAGGACTGACAGAATAAACTCCAGGAACCAACAACACGGAGGAGCCCTGCACAGGTCGCGTGGCAGCCAGTCCCCCTCACCTCGCTTTCCTCCAGCTCTGCCAAGGGCTTGACGACGCTATTGACAAACTTATTGATGTGCTCGAAGTGCCTGGTCATCTCTGTGGCCAAGACCATGTCGATGATGGCCTGGCGCAGCGTCCGGTAGTCATTCCTGTTTCAGACGACAAACGAGAGGCCGCTGAGATCACACACCCAGACCGGACAGGAATGTGACCTGGCATGTGTGTCCCTGGAGCTAAAGTCCTGACATCACTGGGAGGCACACTTCAGAAGAACGGAGGTTACAGGCGAGCGCCCCAACAGAAGTTAAAATCAGAATCTTAAGGCAAGACCTTCCAGATGCAGTGTCCATGACGTTGTCATCCCTGTCAGGCACCCAGTTGTCAGAATAGAGAAAGGACACAGCCGGGTGAGCAGAGCCCGGTCTCGCTGAACACGGAGCCCGTGGTTATGAAGAATGTGCCCCACAAAGGACCCAAAGGCTTTCGTGCCCAGAAACTTAGCCCTGAGGGCTGAGCACGTCCAGGGGTGCTCAACGCCTCTTCCCCAGCACTGGCTTCTAATTACTTTCAAATTTCTATTTTCTGAGGACGTAAACCATATAATTAAAAACAAAAGGTGCAGAGAACGGTGCAGTCATTCTGTTCCTTTCCCCAGAAACAGTCAGTTATCAGAGCCTTGTGTACTTTTCCAGAGGTGACGTGTATGTACATGTCCACACACAAGTATCTCTGAATAAAACCTACTGTAAATCCACTCTGAAATGCTAGAATGTGGCAAAAGGGAGTTTAGTACAATCGGGAGTCTCTTTTTTATAAAATCCCGCATTAAAACTTCTCAAAAATCCAAATGGATACATACTTTAAGTATAGTTGTTGATATGGGAAATCCTATATAATAAAAGCGTAATATGCAAATCGACCAAATAGTGGAACAACTGGTCGCTATGATGCACACTGACCACTATGGGGGCAGACGCTCAATGCAGGAGCTGCCCCCTGGTGGTCAGTGTGTTCCCACAGGGGTAGCACCGCTCAGCCAGAAGCCAGGCTCATGGCTGGCGAGCTCAGATGCTGTGGTGGGAGCCTCTCCTGCCTCCACTGCAGGTGGGCGGTACGGAGTGAGGGGTCCTGGACTGAGAGAGCCCTGGACTGTGAGAGGGATGTCTGACATCCCCTGAGGGGTCCCGGACTGTGAGAGGGCGCAGGCTGGACTGAGGGTCTCCCCCCCAGTGCACGCATCTCGTGCACCGGGCCTCTAGTAATGCAATAATTAACAAATAGACATACAAAAATAAACTTTTGCCCACCCCTGTATTCCTCGTGACAGAATACATTTTCCTTCTTCCCTCTGATGTTCAGTCCCTATCACTAGACACCAAGGGGCCAGTGGTGAACAAAAGGCCCCATGATCTTCAGAGCTTAGGAATCTGCTCAGCCCTGCTGGGAGCTCAGCTGGAGCGTCATCCCATACACCAAGGCTCAGGTTTGATCCCCAGTCAGGAGGGCACATACAAAAAAAAAAAAAAAAAATCAATGAGTGCACCAATATGTGGAATAACAAATCGATGTCTCTCTAAAATCCTATCCTATATAATAAAAGGGTAATATGCAAATCAGCCGAATGGCGGAATGACTGGTCTCTATGATGCGTACTGACCACCAGGGGGCAGATGCTCGACGCAGGAGCTGCCCCTTGGTGGTCAGTGCGCTCCCACAGGGAGCACTGCTCAGCCAGAAGCTGGGCGAGTGCAGCAGCGGTGGCAGGAGCCTCTCCCACCTCCAAGGCATTGCTAAGGAGCAGCGAGCAGATGGGCAGTAAGGAGCGAGGGTTCCCAGACTGCGAGAGGGTGCAGGCCGGGCTGAGGGACCCCTCCAGTGCACGAATTTTTGTGCACTGGGCCTCTAGTCAATCAAATTTCTAAAAAGAATTGAATCAGCCCTAACCAGTTTGGCTCAGTGGATAGAACATTGGCCTGCGGACTCAAGGGTCCCAGGTTTGATTCTGGTCAAGGGCATGTACCTTGGTTGTGGGCACATTCCCAGTAGGGGGTGTGCAGGAGGCAGCTGATCCATGTTTCTCTCTCTTCGATGTTTCTTACTCTCTATCCCTCTCCCTTCCTTTCTGTAAAAAAAAAAAATCAATAAATATATTTTTTAAAAAAACTGAATCAGACATTAGACAAATAATGAAAAATGTGGTAAGTGCTACAAAGGAGACTTGGAACTGAGTAATGAGTGTGAGGGGCCAGGGAAGTAACGTGGGGACCGAGGAGATGCTTGCTGGGAAGAGGGCGTGTCCCAGGCAGGTGCAGGCGCTCTGAATGCCTAAGGCTCCAGGGGTCAGCGTTCCTCTTCCTTGTCTTCAGGTGTCAGGATGCAGAGGAGCTGTGCTGAGTGGAAGGGGCCAGTCACAAAGCCCACGCAGTGAGAGGCCCCCTTCGCTAGAATGTCCACAACCGGCCAGTCTATGGAGACGGAACTGGTCAGTGGTGGCCTCGGGCTGGAGGCTGGGTGAGTGAGGAGTGACTGCTGATGAGTTTGATGTTTTCATTGGTGTATTTTAATCCTCACTCGATATTTTCCCATTGATTGTTAGGGTGAATGGAGAGAGAGGGAAAGACAGAGAGAAACATCGATGTGAATCACATCAATTGGTTGCCTCCAGCATGAGCCCTGATCAGGGCTTGGCCCGAGGAGGAGCCTACAACCAAGGTACGTGCCCTTGACCAGAATTGAACCCGGGACCCTTCAGTCCACAGGCCGATGCTCTGTGCACTAAGCCAAACCGGCTAAGCTGATTTTGATATTTTGAGAGGAGGATGAAAATGTCCTAAAAGTGATGGTGGTCAGGGCTGCATTACTCTGAATAAAGACCATCATACACTCCAAATGGGTGAGCACTGTATGGGGCAGTGATGGCGAACCTTCTGAGCTCGGCGTGTCAGCATTTTGAAAAACCCTAACTTAACTCTGGTGCCATGTCACATATAGAAATTTTTTGATATTTGCAACCATAGTAAAACAAAGATTTATATTTTTGATATTTATTGTATATATTTAAATGCCATTTAACAAAGAAAAATCAACCCAAAAAATGAGTTCGCGTGTCACCTCTGACACGTGTGTCATAGGTTCGCCATCACTGGTCTAGTGTGTGAACTTATCACAATAAAGCTGTGGGGAGAGAGACAGAGGGACCGACACCCTTGTTATCCTCACCTCTCCACGTTCTTGAAGATGTTGCTCTTGTCCTCCCTGGCGGTCAGCTGGAAGGCCAGGGCCGCGTGGTGGCTCTCCAACACGGCACAGTCATTGTACAGCACCGCCAGCGGGCTGCCCGCGTTGCACAGGAAGAGGTTGGTCCTCCCCGGGTGGTCCAGGTCGTGGACGGCGGCTGCGATGAGGGCGGCGGCCTGGTCCACGGAGTCTAACGCTTGCTGAAAAGGAGAGACCTTTTAGAAACCACACAGCACCGAGAGCAAGGACTCTGCAGAGCTCTCTTCCTGCCCAGATTTCTGAGAAAAGCGTCTTGTTGAGCAAACCCAGCGTCCCTGTCGCGACTGTGAAAGTTGTATCTGTGCATGTTTTTTAGGGAACGTTACCGACTTTCACTCACACCAGGTAAGGACTTGCCCCAACACAGGTGTCCTCAGCGGAGAGGCGTGAATGGCTGAACAGCACGATGTGGATTACCTTCGTTGAGGCTGTTAGAAGTGTTTTCAGTTAGCTTTCTGAACGCGCACGTGTTATCTATAAGCAGCCCAGAAGCAGGAAGTTACAGCGGAATGTGGTGTCTTACATGCTGCTCCGTGTTCTGTCCTTTGTGACAGTGCTCTCTCGGGACTCCTAGTCCACCGGGCCTTGGGAATGATCTTTCTTTAAGAACAAAAACCCGGCTCCGAGGTTCGCCTGCAGGGTGAGGAACTAACATCTGCTCAACACGCCCAGGTGCCAGACGTGACCTCGTCCTCTCCCTTGCTGTGGGGGGGCACGCGGGGGCCCTAAGCGGCAACAGCCAACACTGAGTTGGCAGTACTTGCTTCTAGGTTCCGAGTGAAACCCCAGTGCACAGCCCCTCCTGTTCGTGCTGCCTTTCTCCCTGGGGACCAGCCCGTCTTACTTCCATGGCACAGCTGGGTCACGTCCGGAACGGACGCCGTGACTCCGTGCCACAGCGCGGGCCCGTGGCCGCACACGGGAGTCACTCCTGAGAGCCACACTGCGTGGAACTGGGGGAGGCGGACACAGCGCCCGGCGCACCTTGATCCTGTCCTGGCAGAGGAAGTAGGCAGTGGCGTGCAGCACGTCGGCGGCGTGGGTGGAGTTGTGGTAGGGGTTGGAGGAGTGGTAATGGGCTTCCATAGTCTGCAGCCACAGCTGCAGCGTCGTCTCCGAGCACTTCAAGAATTCACAGACCCCAAAGCGAGCGAAGATTTTGAGACCAAGAAAAGTCAAAGGCCTGGAAGGAGAAACAGGCACAGCATGGAAGCCGTGTCAGATGCCAGGGCGGGCGAGACAGCGGGCCTGCCCCCAGGGAGCCGGCACAGCGGGGCGGGGCTCGGACGCCTGCTACACTCGGTGCCTCAAAATCAGCAAGTTTGTAGCCAAGCTGAACTGGTGCCACCTCGAACCCCACGTTCCCCTTTGTGCCTGTGCCCCCCGCTGGGTGTCCTGCCTGGACACACTAACAGTTTCCCAGGACCGCACAAGAGCCAGACAGCCATACGCCCTCTGCTGGCCTCGTGTATGAGGAGGTGCCCCTAGGGCAGTGGTTCTCAACCTCCCTAATGCCGAGACCCTTTCATACAGTTCCTCATGTTGTGGTGACCCCCAACCATAAAATTATTTTCGTTGCTACTGCATAACTGTCATTTTGCTGCTGTTATGAATCGTCATGTAAATATCTGATAGGCAGGATGTATTTTCATGGTTACACATTGAACATAATTAAAGCATAGTGATTAATCACAAAAACAATATGTAATTATCTATGTGTTTTCCGACGGTCTTAGGCGACCCCTGTGAAAGGGTTGTTCGACCCCCAAAGGGGTCGCGACCCACAGGTTGAGAACCGCTGCCTTAGCGGGTGAGCAACCGGCCTTGACCTGGCTTTTGGTTTGAAGGTCAAGAAATGTGGCTCTGCTGAGGCAGTGCCCAGAGGCGATGAGCTGGCAGGGCCTGAGCCGACCTGCCTTGGCCTGATTTCCCGTGAAAGCCTGGTCACTAGAGCGTCAACCAGGAGCTCAAAGACCTGTCTGCCATGGGGTTTTCTTTTCCACGGTCTTTGCCAGGTCGGGGCCACGGAAGGAGAATGTACCTGCGGCTGCTTCATGGTGAGCATGAGCACAGGCAGGCAGGGCTGCCGTGGGGACAGTTCACCCAGATGGGGTGCGACCTGACACTGTCTCCTGGTGATCCCTCGGGAGCGCACCTCCCCTGTGACTGCCCTGCCCCCACATCACAGCCTCCACCTGAGGGCGGCCTGGACAGCACCAGCTCCGTGGCACCCCTCCTGTGTGCCAAGCCAGCCCCCGCTTGGTTAACAGTTCTTTCCCAGCAGGTGCAAAAGTCAAGGCACAGTCCCATCGCCCTCGCCTGCCAGCACACCAGTCGCCATGCCTGTCGCCAACACAGCCGCCAAGTCCTGGGGCTGGCTCTTCTCAAACGTGTGTTGGTGTGTTTGTCATTTTAGTTCTAGGCTCTGAGTGGGGCTCTTTGCTGTGATCCCAGCAGATCGCCACCTACAGGGGAGATCATGCCTGTATTTTCCAGGAAAACCCTGCCATTTGGAGAAGTCAGCCTCTTGCTCCATTTCACGCTTCCCAGAGTCTGCTGTCTCCTCCCTGGCTTCCCACGGACCCCCGTGGAGGCCTGGCCCTGGTGACTCGGGGGCACCCGCCGCCCCGGGACCAGGGACCAGCTCTGTGCAAAACCCACTCGCTGGGGGCTTCTCCGCTCCGGCCCTCAGCACCGAGCTGTTCGCTGAGCGCCAGGTGGGCTCACCTTTTCTGGGTGGCAGTCTCCAGTTCAAAGACATTAAAGTCCCAGTCGTCATCGTTTTCCATGGCCTCAGCTACCCGCGGTGGGATGTTGTGGAGGGACTCGGAGGTGAGTAAGCTGCCCGAAATCTGATGCAGGTCTGGGGAGGGGTGATCGGGAGGACAGTGTTAGCAGGTTCTGCCCGTGAACCACTCCTGAGGGCACAGTGCTGGCTCGGGGCTTTGTTTCGGGGCTTTTAGGACAAACCATCGGGAAAACTAATTTTCATCATTTAAACTTGACTGTAATGTTAATAATGATAAAAAAAATTACAAAGGAAAACTTACTTTTTGTGGAGAGAGTGTACTCATTCCCAGAGAGTCTTCGAAAACCGTCCTGATAAAAATCAAGGAAACGAGAGAGAGAAGTCACAGCTGTTCTTTACCTGACGCCCCCAGACAGATGCTCGCAGAGGGCAGCAGGGCAGACTCTCCCTCACGCACCCCCAGGGGCCCTCCCTTCCATCGCCTGGCACTAGGACGGGGGGAGGGAGGGGGCAGCGAGGGCAGCTTGAGAAGGCGGCCCCGAGGCCCGGCGTTCCTGCTGGCACGCAGACGTTTGGTTTCTTAGGGACAGCGCCCTGTTCCCACCATTCCCCACCCCACCCTCCTCACCCTAATGGACACCAGGCTTCCATGTCCTCTAGAAAAAGCTAGAGTCTTCCTGGCCCTCTAAGCACCCGACTCCGCCCAGCAGAGCCTGGGTGAGAGCTGCTCCCAGCCCCTATAGCAGCCCCCCTCTTTCCGGCAGGCCTCTCTCCCTCCCCCTCCTGTGTCAGTGTCCGCCTCCCCACAGGCTGGGGGGCCTCTGTCATAGGCCAGACCCATGTTAGACATGAGTCTCAACACACATTCCGTCACGGAACCTCGCTGTCTCTGCAGGCCTGATGTCATAACACTGGGCTGTAGGCGGCTACCGGAACCCGCCTAACGCCCGATGTGTAAGATGTCAGTGACCTCAGAGAGCAGGACCTGGGAGGGAAGGGGAGTTTTATTTCTGACCAACACACAGGTGACGGCAGTGACGGACTGATCTGTCTTCCACACAGTTCTTCCCGGGGAGACCTCTATCTGAGACGGGCCTCACGAGCCCACGGCACAAGGCCTTCTCCCCGTGAAGCCGCAGACCTGGGCAGGGGGTCTGGAGGGAATCTGGGCCCCGTCCTGTTTCTGTGCAGCATCGAGCATTTATTTTTCTTTTTTTCTGCCCCCGTTTTCAAAATCTTTAAAACAATTAAGTTTTATTTAAATAAATTGCTCGTAGGACCACTAAGCAGAAATGGGGCCCTGGCTCGGCAGACTGCCCTCCTCTGCTCCACGCTGAGCCCTGGGTGAGGCGGCAGGTGGGCGAGGCTGTGGCCTCGGCGAGCAGCGAGCCCTGTGTAACGGGGCAAGCAGCACCAGCAGCTCCGCCGCAGCCCGGCCAGTGCACTTACAGACATCAGGCCCCCAATGAGGTCCTTGGTGTGAGGATCCCCTTCCTTCGCCTCAAACTGTGGTGAATACAGCTCCGAGGTTCTCAGAATTTCCAGGACGCGGTCTAAGGCTTCCATCACAGGCATGGAGCTGTTCTCCTGGGCAGCACTGATGATATTGATCACCTGCGATATGGGAAGAGACACGAGGTCAGAGCCTTCAAAGCAACAGGAAGCAACCCAGAGTCAGGCTGCCTGGTGCTCAGGGCCAACCCAAGACCAGCCAGCTGTTCCCGCCACACGTCCTCCCTCCAGAGGCCCCATGGCCAGGAGGGCGCTGTTACTGTGCGGCCCCTGGTTCTCATGGGAAGCAATCTGCTGGGAGGACAAGGGTGGTCTGCTCAGTGGAGACGGGCCGCAGACTCCTCACCTTGGTGATGGGCGCCTCGATGGTCATGGAGTGGATCCGGGCCAAGGAGGAGTGTCGCCTCTGGCTGGCCACTGCGGGGAGATCACACGGGCAGGGATCAGGGCCAGCACCGCCAGGGCTCCGTGTCCTCCCTCTCCCCACCTCCCCGAGGCCTCCGTGTGCTGCACGGGGAGGGGGAGGAGCAGACCCGCCCGGTGCCTGAGCTTCCTTCCCATCCTAAGAGCCAGCACTGCTTCCCTCGGCTCCAGGCACCAGGATGCACTTGGCCCCGAACTGAACTTCTGATGTCAGAGAGAGAACAGGAAACAGCCCGCACGCCACGGCCACAGCCTCTGTGTTTGTAATGAGGCCGACGACTGCTCTGCTTGCTGCTGCCCAGGAGACAATGCCACAGGCTCTTTGTGCCACACACGCCGGAGCCAAAATACAGCTCACCACCAACTGCAGTCCATGCGTTTCTGCGAAAGGTTTCAAGGCAGAAACCTTTGCTGTTTCCCACGGTTATGCTTAGTCTAGCCCAGGGGTGGGCAAACTTTTTGACTCGAGGGCCACCATGGGTTCTTAAACTGGACCGGAGGCCAGAACAAAAGCATGGATGGAGTGTTTGTGTGAACTAATATAAATTCAAAGTAAACATCATTACATAAAAGGGTACGGTCTTTTTTTTTTTTTTTTTTAGTTTTATTCATTTCAAACGGGCCAGATCCGGTCTGCGGGCCATAGTTTGCCCACGGCTGGTCTAAAATCATTAGGTCAGGGGTCCTCAAACTACGGCCTGCGGGCCACATGCAAATACAAATATTGTATTTGTTCCCGTTTTGTTTTTTTACTTCAAAATAAGATGTGTGCAGTGTGCATAGGAATTTGTTCATAGTTTTTTTTAAACTATAGTCCGGCCCTCCAACGGTCTGAGGGACAGTGAACTGGCCCCCCTGTTTAAAAAGTCTAAGACCCCTGCATTAGGGCAACGCCTCCACCAGGCAAGCGGCAACTCCGAGCTCTGGTTTACGCTGTTGCTGGTCCTGCCAGATGTGGCTCCTTGGGGGAGGCTGAGCTGGGGGCAGCCTGGGCCGTGCACAGGCAGCAAGAACTAGTGCAGTGATGGCGAACCTTTTGAGCTCGGTGTGTCAGCATTTTGAAAAACCCTAACTTAACTCTGGTGCCGTGTCACATATAGAAGTTTTTTGATATCTGCAACCATAGTAAAACAAAGACTTATATTTTTCATACTTATTTTATATATTTAAATACCATTTAACAAAGAAAAATCAACCCAAAAAATGAGTTTGCGTGTCGCCTGACACGTGTGTCATAGGTTCGCCATCACTGAACTAGTGTCACACAGAGTTCTGTGTCCCCCTGAAAGCTCCACTGTCGGGCCAAACCTCTGTACCAGGGACCTTAAGGGGTCACAGTGTTCCCTGGCCTGAGGCGGCTTCCCGTGACCAAATGGAGGCCTCAGGAGCCACACCGCGTGACGAACCAACCCCAGGCTCCCAAACGCTTTCAATGCTGGCGACCAGCATATGGTGCTGACTTTCCCAATGTGGCCATTAAACCAAAAATAAGAACCACTATTTTATCACGATGTCATAAAAGGGCTTTTTCTCATTTAAAAATGTGATAGTGACATCTGCTCACAAAAACCATACCACAGTGTAAATGCAATCAAGTCAGGGAGAGAAGATGTACAGATGGTTGGGACTGTGTGTGCACAGAGTCCCTGAGCACCTGCAGACCTCAACAATCACTGGGCAAGCGTCAAGGTTACTCAGTACGAGGTCAGTACACAAGAGTCAACTGTAATTTTGCATGCTAGCAACAAACAATCGGAAATTGAAATAAAAACACACCATGTGACAGCATCAAAGAACATCAGTATCTTCTATGCATAGAAAAGCCTAATATGCACAGTGTCCCCTCAGGATTTGGGAGACCGGAAGTTCGACCGCTCACTATGACGTACACTGACCACTAGGGGCAGTGCGGAAGGAAGGAAGGAAGGCCCCGGCCAGCAGCCACCACTGGGCCGCTAGTTTAGAAATAAATCTAACGAAAGATTTCAAAATTTATACACTGAAAATGCAAAATATTACTGAGATAAAATAAGCTAGAGACACAGCATTCCCTGGTCTGCAAGACTCACTATTACTGAGATTTCCATTGTCCCCAAATTGATCTATAGATTCAAGAGACTCCAAGTAAAACTCAGGAGATGGTGTGTGTAAGCGAACAGGCTGGTTCTAACTGTCAGACAGAAATGCAAAGAACCCACAGTAATGGCCAGGAGCATCTCGAGGAAGCAGCAGAATTCCCTTAAGGCTGCAGGAATCGCTGGCACTGCTACAAGCACAGACCAACAGCCAGGGACACAACCCAGGACCGGACCATGTGGTATAGACCCTAATTTATGACAGTGCTACTACAAAATGTGTATTGCTGTTTGCCAATGCAGTGCTGGGCCAACTGGGTTTTAATGTTGTGGTAAAATTCCTCCTTGGTCTCTACTCTCTCCTGATAAAAAATTAACTTGAAATGGATCACAGACCTAAGGTGCACACAGAAGGAAACATGGGAGAACATTTTCATGACCATGGAGCAGAGGAAGAGTTTGTAAACAGGACACAGGAAGCAGCATTAGCTATAAGAGAAGACATGGATACAGTGAACTGGATTAAGGTTAAAATTACGAACCTGTGTTCATTAAAAGAGTGAAAAGGCAAACCACAGAAAATCCATTTTTGATACATATATCCAATAGCGGCCCATATCTAGACTGTGTAATAAACCCTTCTGTCTCCCTCTCCCTTCCATGCTCTAAAAATCAAAGAAAGAGTCTCTGATGAGGATTAACAAAATAAATAAGTAAACTATTAGGTCATTCAGGCCACTTCTACATAATCTTTAAAAAGTATATTCTAATTAGAACTAAAATAATATTTGCAGAATAAGCCTCTCACTTGCCAGAATACAGCTCACCTCCCCACCAGAAGGGAAGCTTATGGCAAACTCCTGCCCACGGTGACGCATAGTAGGTGCTCACCTAAAACCATCGATCGGTTATTAGGAACTTCTATTTCAGCAAAACGGAAACCAGTTTTACCCTCGGCTAATGGATATAAACAAGAGTTGGATCCTGCAACATATTTCTGGTCACAAAAACATCACCAAACTTCTAAATAGAAACGCAAACACTTCTAATATTGAACACTGAAATAAGCATGAGCGATCCACATATTTAAGAAAGGCCAATAAAAACAAGTGAGGTCATCATTTTAACCCCCTTATTCCAGTTCAGGGCCAGGGTGCCGCAGCCGCCCCGGCCAGCAAAGGCCCGGCAGGACCCCTCCACCGCGGGGCCTCGCCCACACCCACTCGGACGGGACCTCCAGACACACACTTCCCAGCATGCTCTCTGGGCTGTGGGAGGAAAGCCAGGCCGCCTGGGAGAACTGCACCCTCACACAGGCAGTGACCTGCCGGGAACGTTACTTCAGGACCTGCTGTGACACTTTAGGAACTCAACCAGACAACAGACAGTACACCGGCCCTTTTCTCCATTCCCTGACTCCCGCAAAAGGCTCAGCATGGAGCCCACTGGCAGGAGCCGGAGGGGAGGGGGGGCAGTGGCCCGGGGATGAGGAGAGGGGAGTGTCACAGATTGCTGGGGGGTGGGGGGCAGTGGCCCGGGGATGGGGGGGGGGGGTGGTGCCAGGTCCGCACGTGCAGCACCAGGTGGTACCAGCTCCCCGGTCTTGGGGACCTACCTTCGCTTGCTCGTGAGGCAACACTCCTGACATCCAGGGAGCTTTTCCTCTTGTCTTTATGTTTACCTGATTGATTATCTGTGGGAACAAGAGATAAATCACCTCATCAAGGGGTGAAAAACGACCAGTTACCGTTAGAAAAACTACCAATCTAAAATTTTTAAAACAAAATTTAAGAATTTGGACACTAAGTTGCAACAAAAATCTGCAGAGAGCAGACGGTGAAAAGGAGGCGTCGGGCTCTCTCACAAAGTCCCACATGTCCGGTCAGACAGCGCGTCCCAGGCTCCAGGCCCCGTAACGAGGGTCCCGTCTCGACGGAAAGGGGCGACGAGGAGATGTGCGCTCAGCACTCCTTGCTGCTGTGGCTGAGGAAAGTGGGAGCGATTTTTGAGCCCCACGCGTTTGCCCCAAAGGGGAGAAACCCTTTATGCAGTTGCTTCTGTGACACCAGGCCTGCCGTTTGGGGAGGAGCGCGCCTCTCCCAGGGGGCACTGGGCTGGCTGTGTCATTTCCTCCGTCTCCGACCCCCTTCTGTGAGGCACCACGACCCTCTGGGCTCCGAGTGGCTGCCTGGCCTCCCCTCACCCCGCACCTCCTTCCTGCCCCTCCTCGTGCACCTGCCGGCGCCGTGGGTGGCTCTGAGCCTCCCAGCCCTCAGCCGGCCCCCCGGTCACAGGCGAGGAGCCTGGGGGCGGCGTGTGGACAGGGTTCCTGCTGCAGCCGCGCCTCCTCTGCCCGGCCACGCTTCACCGCCAGCCCTGCCCCCGAGCAGGACCTGCATCCGGCCCCTGGCTGCCCCCGAGACACGTCTGCACTGGTGTTTGCTACACTCTCCTCTCCGTGGGCACTGACCTGGCCTTCAGGTCACTGCTGGCCTCTGCGCTGCTGCAGCTGAAGGACAATTCCATCCTGACCCGACTGGGCCTGTGGTCCCAGACACACCCGACCCCTTTCTGGAAACTCCTGTTGGCCTAGGTCCACCCCCTGGCCTGCCTTCCGTCTCTCACTCTTCCTTCCTGGTCCCTCGGTTCCCAAATGTCTGGCAGCCCTTCTCTTCTTGGAAAACAAGTCTCCTTAGGAGCCCCCCTCCTCTGGCTGTGACGCACTCCCGTGCCGCTGTCCTGCCCTGAGCTCGGGCCTGCATCCTACCTGGCCACGGCCACCCGCCCGCCGGCACCGCCATGAACGCACTCTCTCTCCCAAACCCGCTGTCCCAGGTCACGGAGCAGCATCCATGCCTCCTCCCTCCTCCCCACGCCCTCATCTCAGCACCCCTTTAACCTGCCCACCCTAGGCCGCAGCCGCACCCAGCCCTCTGGACTATAACGGCAGCTCCGGTCACAGTCCCACGGCCCCTGCCGTGCCCCCTCCTACCCCTGCTCTACAGGCAGCCCAGCAGTCCTTCTAAAATAACCAACACTCTCCCGACCAGAACCTCTCAACGGCTCAGCTCACCGTGGTTTTCAGGATAAGATTTAAGCTCCCGTGTGGCACCAGGGCCCTGTGATCCCTGGACCCCGTTCCACCATCATGGCTTCTGTGATGTGCTGGTCTCCCCCACCCTCTACGTCTTGGCACAGGCTGCTTTCCTCCAGGGAGCGTGCCTCTCCCAGGCCACCTTCTCACCTGGTTAAGAGCCAGCCTCCTTTAAGATGCAGTCCAGGTGTGACCTTTGGGGCGTCCTCCCCTAATGCCCCCCCACACACACACACTGCGGTAACCGCGGTAACCGTGGGCTCCATCCGCCTTCCTCCCCAGCTGGGCATGAGGAAGCACAGGAAAGTCCTTTCTCCTTCCCAGGTGGCAGCACCGCCCGGCACAGAACAGACGCTCAATAGACACACGTCTGCCATCCACCACCTGCTCAGCCCTGTGCACAGGGAGCACCACTGGTTGCAGCCACTGGCGGCCTGGCCCCCCGCACTCACACCCGCACTCACACACCCCCCGCACTCACACACCCCGCACTCACACACCCCGCACTCACACACCCCTACACACCCCGCACTCACACACCCCCGCACTCACACCCCCGCACTCACACCCCCCGCACTCACACCCCCCGCACTCACACCCCCGCACTCACACACCCCGCACTCACACCCCCCGCACTCACACCCCGCACTCACACACCCCGCACTCACACACCCCGCACTCACACACCCCGCACTCACACCCCCCGCACTCACACCCCCCGCACTCACACCCCCCGCACTCACACACCCCCGCACTCACACACCCCCGCACTCACACACCCCGCACTCACACCCCGCACTCACACACCCCGCACTCACACACCCCGCACTCACACACCCCGCACTCACACCCCCCCCGCCTCACACCCCCCCCGCACTCACACCCCCCCCCCCGCACTCACCACCCCCCCCCGCACTCACACACCCCCGCACTCACACACCCCCGCACTCACACACCCCCGCACTCACACCCCCCAGCACCTCCGAGACAGCAGCTGGCCGGCAACAGCCTGCCTTCCTCACTGGCCCTGACCACGCGAGGCTGGGCCAGCGGCTCCCCCTCCCTCTCAGGAGCAGCCTGGGCATCTGCTGCCCCTGCCTCGGGCAGCACTCCACACACTCGCCCCTCCCATCGCCCCTCCTCCCAACCTCCGGCCAGTGTGTCTCCTCCGGCAGCTTCTGGAGATTGAGGCCGCACCCCTGCCTTTACAGCTGGGCCAGGAACTGGGTCATTCCTTCATCCTTCCCCGTTTGTCCACTCCACACACACACCCTGGGCACCGCGTGTCAGGCCCTAACCAGGCGCTGGGGTGGGAAGTGGAATAAGGTCTAGAGCAGCTGTGGGCAAACTACGGCCCGCGGGCTGGATCCGGCCCGTTTGAAATGAATAAAACTAAAAAAAAAAAAAAAAGACCGTACCCTTTTATGTCATGATGTTTACTTTGAATTTATATTAGTTCACACAAACACTCCATCCATGCTTTTGGTCCGGCCCTCCGGTCCAGTTTGAGAACCCATTGTGGCCCTCGGTCAAAAAGTTTGCCCACCCCTGGTCTAGAGGGTCACAGGCCGGGAGCTCAGGGTCCGGAAGTGCAGGAGCCCCAGGGGGAGTGGGGAGGGAGGGGAGCAGCGTGTGGCTGGAGGCAGGAGGCATGTGCACGAGGACAGGACCGGGCTTTGGGGGCGACGAAGCAGCTTTCATTTCTCCTTGGCATTTTGCAGGGGCTCCCTCTGCCTCCAGGATGCTCTTCCTGTCCTCTGACTGACCTGTCTGTCCCAGGCACCATTCCCACCATCGCCATCTCTGGGAAGCGTCCCCAGGCCCCCCCCCCCCCCATGCGGTGCCACAAAGTACAGTGAGTTCAGATGACCTGCCGTGTGGGTGCCTAACTGGACCGGACTCTCATCACACGGAATGTCTTTGGCGAGTTAAAGGGACGTGTGCTGGGACCTGTTGGCTTCCTGGACACCCAGGATCCGAGCCCCTGTCCTGTGCCTCCCACCACAGGGTGAGCGCTTTGCCCATTCCCCATTAGGAAGCCACCAACGAGCGCTTCACCCCAGAGCCCAGCAGCGAGGGAGGCTGTGGGGGGGGGGCCCTCCGGCAGAGCCCATGGGGGCCCCGCACGCTGCTCCCAGGCCGCAGGGGCCGCGCCCAGCTTCCCTGGGTCCCTCTCTCTCGGACGGTGCTCTGGCTTCCCTGTCCCACCGTGGGCCCCATCTCCTAATGGCTTCTTTCTGAGGAACTGGTGCTGGTGGTGTATAGCCAAGGACCCCACCTGACAGTCAGCAGGGCTTTGGATAAAAGGCGGTTAGATGCTGAGAGGAAGGCAGACGCCGGGAGGGTGTGATCTGGTAACGTGACAGGCGGCCCAGCACGGCGGCCTCAGAGTCTCCCGGCTGAGACTTCTCCCGGCTGGACAGCCGTGAGCATGGCCCTGACCTGCCTGCTAGTCCAGCTCTGCCTTTCCTGGCTGCCCGCTCCACGCCGTCACCTAAACCTTCTGAACCTGTTTCTTTCTTTGTAATAAAGAGATGACAGCCGTGCCCCCCTCGCAGGGCTGTTCTACATCTTCATCGACTAGAAGCCCAGCGCACAGACTCATGCACCGGTGGGGACCCTGGCCGGCGGGGATCGGGCTGAAACCGGCTCTCTGACATCCCCCAAGGGGTCCTGGATTGCGAGAGGGTGGTTCTCGGGTGATGCACTCCGGAACCAGGCTCCCTCCTCTCTGTTGCCAGGGGCGTCACCCAAGAACCACAGCTGCCAAGTCACCATAGCTCAGCAGCTCCTGCGTTGAGCATCTGCCCTCTGGTGGTCAGTGTGCATCGTAGCTACTGGCTGGACAGTCAGATAGTCACTTAGGCTTTTATATATACAGACTAGTGGCCTGGTGCTGTGGAGGTTGGCGGGGGGCGGTGGGAGGGTGGGCTGTGGGAGTTTGGCTGGCCGACCGCCCCCCTCAATGGGGAGTGGGGAATGGTTGGGGAGGGGTCATGGGAGGTTGGCTGTGGGAGCTCACTGACTACCAGGGGGCAGCTCCTGCATTGAGCACCTGTCCCCTGGTGGTCAGTGCACGTCATAGCGACCGGTCGTTTGGTCGGCTGGTCACTTAGGCTTTTATATAGCTATCCAAGTAAAGGCGCTCCCTGACCTTGCGGTGCAAGGGTTATGGTCAGGCTGGGCCCACGCGGGCAGCTTCTACTCCTGCTCCTCCACCCCCTCAGGCTGGCTCTGCCCTCTCCTGAACCTGCACTCCTCTGCGTCATTGGTGAGCTCTCGGATGCAAAGGCCACCCCTAGCTCTGCACGCCCCTCCCTCTTCTCTGTGCCACCAGCTCTGACTCAGGTGCCCGCCTCTCCCTCCAGCTCCTCCTGGGCCCTCGGTCCCCACCCCCTGCCACCATCCCTGCTCAGTCTCATCGGCCCCACATCCCAGCTACCTGCTTTGCTGGCAGCAAAACGTACACCCCCGGCCCTTCTCTCTGCAGCACCCAGCAGGCCCTCAACAGAAGCTGTAGCATGAACGAGCCGACGAGTGAGCGAGTGAGCAAGCACACACACCCCTTCACCTCACCTTCCCAGCCCGTCCCCCCCTCACCATCCAGGCTTCACAACCTCCTCTCAACTGTGTCTCCTTGCTTTCCTCGCTCTGGTTCCCACCACCTTCCCCCGCGGCCTGTCTCCCTCCTGCCATCACTGGTTATGCCCTGGCGGCTGCGCCTCTGCTCCGCCTGTGGCGATGCTGGCATCCTGTCTGGGGTGTCACACACCTGCCCTGAGAGCTCAGACTTCAGGCTACTCCCGGCTCAGGCTGCACTGCCTGCAGGTGAAAACCCTCCTTTCCTACACTGCCTGACCCAGTTCCTCTCCGCACACGGACCCGCCCACCAGTCCAATTTAACCCTTGCTCTTCCAGAACACACTCTGGACTTCCCGTCTTCTGTGCCTGTTTTATTCTTGGAATACTTTTCCTTCCACACACTCTTCTTAAACAAAACAAAAAATTTTTAATCGACTTTGAGAGGGAAGAAGGGAGGGAGATAGGAGATGGGAGATGGGGGGGGGGCGGGGGGGAGAGGAAGAGAGAAACACCGATATGTTGTTCCACTTACTGATGAGTCACTGGCTGAGTCTTGTATGTGCCCGGACCGGGGATGCGACCCGCACCCTTTGGGCATTGGGACGACGCTCAAACCAATGGAGCTGCCGGCCAGGGCTCCGCAGCCTCTTCTTCAAACCCGTCCCTGCCTGGACTTTCCCTCTCCTCTAAGGCGCCATGGCCCGGCCCCTTCTCGCCCACCACTCACCACCTGTCACTCGCCGTGAGTCACTCGGCACCACCACCACGTCTCTGCCTTCACGCAAGCCCTGTGTGCTCCTGGGCACCGCGCCCACGAGAACTGCCGCAGCCCGTGCCAGCCCACCACTTCCTCCTGGACGGGGCCCAGGGCAAGTCAGTCAGTCCTTCCGTTCCCTCCTCTGTGAAAAGGGAACTTTGTCTACAACATGTCTGCCCATCGGGGTAACACCCTCAGCACAGGGCCGCGTGCAGTCGGCTCCCGAGGAAACGAGCTGCCTGGTGCTGGGAAGCACGTCCCCGAAGCTGAAGGAATGGGAGCCGGACCCGGGAGATGGTCTCCTCCCGGGACGGACCATGTGCAGTCACCCAGCAGAGGTGGGAGCGGACCCGGGGAGGCACCGCTGAAGGGCCCGGCGCCCCGTCTGCTGGCGGTGATGACTGTCAGAAAAAGCTGTCCCTGTTCTTAGAGCACACGTCACTCAACACGCTTCCACATTGAATTCATGCATGTGAGGGGCCCAGGCTCCCCGCACGCCTGTCAGATGCCCTCAGGGCTCCGGGCCTGGGCCTGGGCAGCAGAGACCCGCCGTGCAGTGGGCAAGCCCTCAGAGGAGGAACGTGGGCGCCATACCTGTGGGAGCGTCAGAATGAACGGAGTCCATGATCTTCTCAGCCTGGAAACGATGGAGAAGCTGTTAGTGCGGCCGCCTTCGGGGGAGGAGCATCCCGGGGGGCAGCCGTCCCCTCCCGTCCCGAGGCCCCGACACACCTTACTGTTGCCGCTGCTCATCCGGATGATGGACACATAGTGTCTAATTTTGCTGCAAGTAGAAAACAGTGCGTTATTTCTCCCTCCCGGTGTCCATGGCTGTGCTGACGGACGCGTTGCTATTTCTCATTATGGAAAGAGCATCTCTCCACACACACACCCGCTTTGAGAAAAGCACCTCTGTGGTCCCGCCACGCCCCCCAAAGGCGTCTCCACAAACACCCTTTGGCGCCTGCAGCCAGGAAGCCGACTCTTCAGTACAAACACCGCCTCCTCCCCAGGCGCCGTAACGGACAATCACAAACACCTGCTTCTAACATGGGCTGCGTGTTGACCGACCGGAGCCTGCAGACACTCCGCGTGTTTCGTGCTCAGGACCCCAGATGCTGAGGCGCTTCCGGTTCCCGAGCCACCGGACCCAGTCATTCAGCCAGAGGACGGGCCGGCTCCCTGGGAGCAGAGCAACCAGCCCTCCTCCCAGGAGCCGCCGGCTCTCCTCACTTCCTGTTCCTTCCATTTTTCCGTTCCCCTTGATAACCGAATCCCGATGTGCTTATCACACAAACATGTGGAGAGGACATAAAAAGGCGAAGAATCAGAACGGAGGGCCCACCCAGACCCGTCTCCCCAAGGCATCGGCAGAGGTCTCGGCCTGGCTCCGCCCAGTGCTGGCCACCGGCCTCAGCGTCCTCATCTGGGAAAGGGCGGAGGTCAGGGCCCACATTGGGGCGGGTCCCACCTCCTCCTCCTCTGCCCTTTTCCTCATCATCCCGTGAGGTCACACACGGGTCTGATTGTGCATTTACATAAGCATCTTCCTTGTCATTTCCTCTGGCATCACTTCTCACAGCTGCATTGATGGCTGGGTGTTCTAGAACGTACTCACACTTTCCCATCGTTCCCATCTCTTAAACTAGACTCCGAGACAAACCAGAGGAGACTGTTAGGCTCCTGGTAGACACTGCCTTCCAATCTGTGCTCACACCTGTTTGATATGCGTTTCCATAGACGGTGGTGTCTAAATTATTCTTATTTAATTTGCTAGGTCTACGCGGCAATCACAGGCTTTCAGGTTAGACACAACTCTTTCAGTCCGTGTGCTCATCACACAGCTTCATAAACTGCCTTCGTATTCTGACCTCAATGCGTTAGGCCCGTGTGTCTGCAGCACAAGAGGAGGGTCTGGAATCTGGGACTGTGAGTCGCCAGCTGGAGTCAGGCTGCAGCCCTGAGGAGCCCCCGGGAAGGCCATTCTAGGGTGACGCCTGACCTAACACACGTCTGTCTCTCACATTGTGCAGGCAGCTCTTAAGCACTTACAGCACATTTACAATCAGCCAAACACAGCATTTGATTGGAGCACATTTATTCCACTTACCCTCCCTGTCCAATGACAGGAATTATCTTCACATTCTGTGATACGTTATCTCCGCTTTTGGAGTGGTAAACGCCTTGCCACTCCTGTAAATGCAATGCAAGCATCGTTATGCTCTGTGTGCAATACATACACCCAAGAACACGTCCCACTCCGGCCCCGATTCAGTTACCACTGAATCAGCACAGAGTCATCCCAACCCCACACCTGGACCTGACCCTGCTTCCTCCACCTCCCCCGGCTGCTGACACACCAGGCCGCCAGGCTGCCTGCTGGCTCCCCCGTGGAGAGCACCCCACCTGCCGCGACGGGGAGGGGGGGCCTCTGGCCCTGCACTTGACCAGAGAGAGAAGGAACACTCTGGCCATCAGCATGGTGGGCTGCCACCGCCCTCTGGGTTGTGGGAGGGTTTTGGACCCTCTGCATTTGGGCAGGGGGCGGGGGGAAGATGGGGAAACAGCCAGGTCTGGGCTCAGGCAGAACAAATTGGTGAGAGCTTCAAGCCAGGACTGTAGTTGTGTTAGTCGAGCTCTCAGATCAGACAAAACATAGGGATTCTTTCCCTCAGGAACTGCGGGGAGAGAGCAGGTGTGTGGGGACAGGACTGCGGGAGGCGGGGCTGCAGGGGCTCCCCTGTGCTGGGCTCACTTGGGGGTGGGGGGTGCAGAGAAGCCGCAGTGGAGCTGGGTTTGTCATCACCTAGACGGTTCTGAATTCTCCAAGAGTCACCAAGGGCTCCAACTATAAAAATCCTAAGCCCGCTGTAGGACATGACTCCCAGGGTGTCCCACAGGGTCCGGAGCCCCACAGGACCTGGGGCTGAGCAGGCGGAAGAGGACCCCCTGGGAGCCGTGGTGGCTCAGCTCAGGTCTCCTGCCCAGACCCTCACATTTGGCCAATCCTGAACTCTTCTCTGGGGGGGCCTGGCGACCTGCACGAAGGCCGCCCCTCCCTCCTGCCTCAGCTGCTCCGACTATGGAGACAGTCCCTCCTCAGTGCCCATCGTTGTGCCCTGGCCTACCCCAGGGCTAGCAGTGTTTGTGCCTGGAAAACGGTGAAAGAACACCTGGGGCTTGGCTTCCTGCATGGGAAAGGGAGGCCGCGGTGGGAAACCCGGCACCCAGCCAAGCGACTGAATCTACACGGAGGGAGCAACAGGCCCAGCAGGACTGACCACTGCCCGGCCAGCGTGGCTCGGTGGGTGAGTGTCCGCCTATGAACCAGGAGGGCACGTTCTGGCCTCAGTCCCCAGTAGGGGGCGTGCAGGAGGCAGCTGATCAGCGATTCTCTCTCATCACTGATGTTTCTCTCTCCCCCTTCCGCTCTGAATCAGTAAACTTTTTCTTTAAAAGAAGGCCCTGAACAAGGTCAGGCCCAGGCAGTGGCAAAGTCGGGGGCTCGGCGATGATTCATGGAGGAGACTGACGGTGGGGAGGGACCACAGCCGCCCCAGGAGTCACAGTGCAGGCAGCTGGCACCTGGGGCACCAGCAGAGGCCACAGGGGCCGGCAGGGGGGTCCCTCGTGGACAGGGGATACGAAGAGGCCACTGTCAGACTCGCTGATTCCAACGTGGCGGCGGCTTGCTGAGCCAGGCCTTGCAGAGAGGCTGGGCTGAAGCGGGAGGAAGACATCGATGTGGAGCAGGGAAGCGCCTCAGTGACGGGTGGCGAGGAACACGGCGGGGGACGGGGGCCCTGGTGAACTAGGGGGGCACAGGCAGAAGAGGGGCAGACGGGAGCAGGTGGGGAGGGAGGCGGAAGAGTCACAGACTCGGGGGTGGGGGGGGATAAAGGCTGTGGAAAGAGAGGGCTCTGCAGCCCACATCACTGTCCCTCAGCGCCAAGAGGCCGAGAGAGAAGACGGGCGACGGTCTAGAGCCCCGACAGAGAAGCCTCGGGGAGGAGGAGAGGGAGGAGTCTAGGGACACATGTACGGCGACAAGCAGGTGTGAGTGTGGGGGCTGCAGACCAAGGTACCGAATACAGCGATGGCGAACCTATGACACCCGTGTCAGAGGTGACACGCAAACTCATTTTTTTGGTTGAATTTTCTTTGTTAAATGGCATTTAAATATATAAAATAAATATCAAAAATATAAGTGTGTTTTACTATGGTTGCAAACATCAAAAAATTTCTATATGTGACACGGCACCAGAGTTAAGTGGGGGTTTTTCAAAATGCTGACACGCCGAGCTTAGAAGGTTCGCCATCACTGTACTAGGATCAGCTACCCCCAAAGAGGAGCCGTTGGCTGAGACGGGGCAGAGGGATGTGCCTGAACATCAGGATTGTTCCTCTGCCCACAGACTGACTGCTGGCCTCGTAGACTCTGACATCTAGAGCCCCCACCCCGTCACCGACCCACTCGCTGCACTCTGTTCTGGTTTCCAGCGTCGCCTGATGTCCCCCCGCCGACCAGAGCCCCACCGTGGCCCAGGGCCCTGCTGCTCTCGGAGGGACTTATGAGAAAGGCCCAGGCACACACCCTCCCGCTGCAGCGGCCAGAGAGCAGGTGAAGGTGAAGGGCACGTGGCGCCTTCCCCCTCTTCCCGCGAACCCTGACCACACGAGACATGACCGGGCTCCTTTCTGAAGTAAAGCACCAGCGTCCTATTCGTTGCTCTCATTCATGCAGTGAGAGTAGCGGTCGCCAACCGGTGGCCCGTGAGTCCAGAAGGTTGGCGACCGCTGGTTCAGAGAACAGGCCTCCTGCTGTTGGAGTCTGAGGCCCTCTGAACCCGGTGCCCAGCAGCACAACTCAGGAGGGGACGCCGCTGTTCGCCTGGTCGAGAGGCTCCCAGGGCCCATCCACGACATGTCCCCTCTCCTCTCCGCCGCCGCCCCTGCCCTCAGTGACGGGGAAGGAGGCGCAGCGTGGCCACCGTCAGGCCCAGGGGCACGAGGGCCAGCATCCTGCGCACACCCAGGCGACTCTCTGACTGCTAGGGTGGGAAGGCCACGCAAAGCCCTTAGGGCTGCTGGGCCTCAGGTAACGCTGCCCGCTGCCCACACCTGCCTCCTGAGGACGCCGTGCCCCCGAGGGACGGAGCGCGGCTCTCAGGGTCCCTGCACCTGCCTCCGACTTCCTCTCTCTTTCTAGTAAGGAACCTCTCTCCCTGACCGGAAGCAGAAGGTACAGTGAGTGGAGCAGCGCCCACTTTCACTTCCGATGCCGACGCCAGGGCTCTGCACAGGCCTGTCCTTGTCCTCCCTGCAGGCGCCCTGCGTGCTCAGAGCCGTGGCAAAGCGAAGGCACACATGCCACCCTGGGGTCTCAGGGGCCCGAGCACGCGGGGCTGAATCTTGGCACACCCCTCCTGCCCCGACGGCAGACTCTTTCCTGCAACAGGACAGCACGGGCCCAGGGAAGGGTGTCACTGCCCCTGGGCCTCCACGGTGAGCAGAAAAGCAGGTCACGGATTTTTCAACTTTTTCAATAATCATATTAATAGTCCCCACCCAATTCCAAAGGTGAAATGAGCCCCACAGAAACAACTGAAGAGGGACCATGAACAGCAGGCCCTCTCCTTCTCGCTTTCTAAAACCTGGCAACGGGGCCTGAAGCTACTGTCCAGAGAAACAATCCTGCAGCCTGCGCTGCCTTTCCCGCCTTCAGCACTGACCACATGGCGTCCGTCTCACACGACCGAGCAACGATTCCTCCCTCTTTCCTGTCTGTTTTGCTCCCTTGAACAGGAGTTCTCAGAGGCAGGACTTGGTGTCTTGTTTAGTTTTTCTATACCAGAATGTAGCAGCTGCCTGGCATATAGCAGGCATTTTATTTTTATTTTTTAAAATATTTTTATTGATTTCAGAGAGGAAGGGAGAGGGAGAAAGAGAAACATCAATAAGAGAATCATTGATGGCTGCCTTGTGCACGCCCCCTACCGGGGTTCCAACCTGAGATGCTTCAGTCCACAGGCCGACGCTCTAGCCACTGAGCCAAACCAGCCAGGACCGCAAAGCAGGCACTTTTAAAAATGCTGAATGAATGAATGAACGAGGCTCAGAGGACTGCTGGGCTCAGGTGTGTTCTGAGAATGTCACCTCATGGGCAATCCTTTACCCAGAACCATGTGCCCATGACCACCACTTCGGTCAATCATTAGAAAGATCAACTTAGTATAAAGATGAAAACCATGACCTGAAGTGTCAATTCAAGTGGCTCTGATTGGTGGCGAATCATGCTCTGTACTTCCTGGCCTGTGTCCTCACCTGCCAACTGGGCACCGGGAGACTCCCACCCCCTCCGCCTGCTGCGAAGAGCAAGGCAGGGCGTCTGGCACATGCGATGCTCAGAGCCCGCGCAGTATCCTTCCTTCCCCGCCGTGATAGGAAAGTCAAAAAGGTACTAACCTCTTACTTACCTTGCCCATCTTCGTGCATGAATTTATAGTACTGAACAAGTCAGCCTTTTTCTCATTTAGAGGCATTTTTGCTAACTCCTTCCCTAATAATTCACCCGACGCATAGCCCACTGTTGTTTCAAATGCTGGATTTACATACTGGGGCGGGGGAGACAACAAAAAGAAAAAAAAGCATCGAGTGAATTAAAAGAAATTTTGAAGAGTCCAATGAAGACAGACTTCCACCTAAGCCGGCACTTCCCCCCAAGCACAGGAGCCTGCGCTCACCATGGCGGCTCTGAAGCCGCGAGAACCACCCCCTCCCCCCAGGACCCTGGAGTGTGGAGAGCTGCCCAGGTTACTGGCGGGCTTCTCCCATGTTCTCCTGAGGCTCCAGGTCCCCGTGGAGACACACCAGGCGCTGCTAGGATCAGGAACTGGGACACAGCACCAGACGGGGATCGGGGATCGGAGGCAGCCAGGCTCCATTCCCACAGCCCCTTGAGCAACTCCAAGTCGCCCACTGCACATCTGTTTAACATCTCCCCGCTCCTGTGACGGGAATGAATAATGTACTTGGGAAGCAGGCTGGGAACTGGGGAGTGTTTGCAAATATAAGGCTCTATGCTTGAATTTCCAAAGGGCCTAGAAGACAATGTATGGGGAAGGCTGTGCATGTGCTGCTAATAATAATAATAATAATAATGATAATAATAATGTGAGGATGATGACAAAATCATCATACTGTTCAAGGACTATTTCCAAGGCCTATAGCAATGATGGCGAACCTATGACACGCATATCAGAGGTGATACGCGAACTCATTTTTTTGGTTGATTTTTCTTTGTTAAATGGCATTTAAATATAGAAAATAAATATCAAAAATATGTCTTTGTTTTACTATGGTTGCAAATATCAAAAAACTTCTATATGTGACACGGCACCAGAGTTAAGTTAGGGTTTTTCAAAATGCTGACACGCCGAGCTCAAAAGGTTCGCCATCACTGGCCTACAGCACTGCACACACATTAACTCATTTAGTCCTCAGCATCCTTACAAGAGGGAGGCTGCTGTCTGCATTAATATTTCTCTCATTCGTACAGATGAGAGCAGATTCAGGCAGAGTAAGTAACTGGCCCAAAGATGCTCGGCTAGGAAAGGGTGAGGCCTGTCTGACACCAAGCCTGTGCCCTCACCCGCTGGCCCCTGTGCCACCTCTGAGGGCACTGATTCCTGAATGTCGGCATCATCAGCTCTTTATCAAGAAAGTCACAAGTTAGGTTACAGGCCAGGGGTGCTCAGAGCCACACCAGAGGGGAGCTGTTCTCAGACACAACTCCCTCTCCCGGTATCTACAAGTGTCTCCGGTCACAGACAGAAACCCACTTTGCTAATAATGGACAAGTTGTTCAGAAATTACTTGGTTATTCTGAAATTCTGAGTAGTTTCTCAGAAATGTCTGTAAGTGTCAACTACATCAAAGGCCACGAGGAGGTGAGAACTCGCAGGCCTTACAGTCAGAGCCTTTTCCCTTTGCAGCATCCTTCCTGCCCCCCGCCCCCCGCCCACTCCCCGCCCCCCACCCCTCCACCCACAACCCCAGTAACAACCCTCCTGGACACAAGGCTCTCCTCGAACACACAGTAACTATTGGGCCTCTTCGTATCTAGAGGGCACTGACTGTAAATTACATCTCTTAGAGATTTCGTTCTGATCATCCTCTATGGAAAACCTGGTCTCTTGAACTTCAAAAAGAAAAAGAAAAATCTTACTGGAGGGTTTCAATTCTAAAAACGAGAACAAGCAAAACCAGAGACCCAGAAGGACAGAGCTCCCAAACGACCCACCTGTATGTAGTTGTCCTCACTGGTGATTTTAATGGCGTCGTGGCTTTTCTCTAGTGCAGTGAATACTGAATTACAAGCCCTTTATGGAGAGAGAAAAAAGGGTGGATTAATGTAAACACTACAAAACCTAATACAACCTTGGGTGTTACACTCACTTATTTGAAGGTGTCTTCTGACTGATTATAAAGGTAACGAACGCTAATTAAAAAAAGAAGGGGAACAGCCCTGGCCGGTGTGTGAGGTGGTCAGAGCATCAGGCTCCGGACTGAAGGGTCCGGGGTTTGATTCCCAGTCAAGGGTACGAATCTCAGCTGCAGGCTCGGACCCCGGCCCGGGTGGGGCATGTGCAGGAGGCAATCAATCGATGTGTCTCTCTTACCTTCCACACACTCTCTCAAAAAAAAAAAAAAATCAGGGGAAAAAATATCCTCAAGTGAGGATTAAAAAAAAAAAAGAGGGAGAAGTTCCCACCTCTGGTTGCAACAAGTTTGGAGAGGATGGATCTGTGAGAAGCCCTACTGGTTTTATCACCCTTTTTAAGTTTTTACAGATCTGGTAAATAAAACATGGTATATAATTTTCATTTGTTTTAGTACTGGTGAAGTTGAACAGCTTTTCATGTTTACTGGAGATTAATATACATCCCCTATGAACTGCCTAATCATGTCCTTTCTCTTTTTTTTTTTTTACCCAATGTTTCTATTTTTAAAAAATATATACTTTTATTGATTTCAGAGAGGAGGGGAGAGGGAGGGAGGGAGGGAGGGGAGAGAGAGAAACATCAATGATGAGAGAATCATCGGTCAGCTGCCTCCTGCACGCCCCACACTGGGGATCAAGCCCACAACCCAGGCATGTGCCCACGGGAATTGAACCTCGACCTCCTGGTTCATAGGTCAATGCTAACCACTGAGCCGTGCTGGCCGGGCTGCAGCCCCATCTTTACACCTGAGTCTCCAGTTGCTAACATGACCACTGACAGAGACACCCACGCAGACTCCGAACGTCTGTATGTGGAGAGGAGCCACTACATCACCCCATCCCATCTTGGCAGGAGGTCAGTTACCCCAAAAGGTAGCCATCCTGCCGGGTGCTCACTCGCGACTGCCCTGTGTGGAGCGCGGGCCTCCCAGAGGCAGAATTACCTGAGTTTCAGCTGTGACCGCACCTCTCCAAACTCCAGCTGCAGCAGCTCCACGTAACAGGCCTGGAGGCTGGGGTTCTCCACGTACCTCTGCGACAGAAAGGGGGTCGTGGCTGAACAATGTGCGCCTTCCCGTTAGTATGTCTACCTGTACAGTAATTCTTTCCAACAGACTCCCAACTTGGTAACTGAAATAAGAGGAGGTGGGTCGTGTACGAGTCATAGCAGAGGCTAGAATATGTAGAAAGGAATTTACCAAAGTCCTACATAAACTTTCCGAGGATATTCACTTACTTAAGAGCAGTATGTTGTCCTCTTTAATGTTATACACACCAATAACATGCAAGAAAAATGCGTGCATCTCTCTTTGCACTTGGATTTCACGAGGTAACCCCCACTCAGGCAACATTTTCCTTCACTGGCCTCTCACCGTAGCCCAGCTAAGCCGACAAAAGCTTACCCCCCAGAGCAGAGGGAGCAGGAGGCTGTGGTTCACACGTGCTCCTCTAACTGGACGTCCACCTCCGAGTAGAAGCGTGGATCTTCTCACCCAGTGAAAACCCAGGGATGTGCACAGGTCATCCGCTGACCTGTCCCCACGGCACCAGATCGCGCACCTCCAGGGAGGTGAGGCCAGCCAAGGCCTTGGACGGCTGGGGACCCCAGTGCATCTCCAGCCTCCCGCGCCTCGACTTCGTGTGTGCAGGGGCACAAGCAGCGTGCCCAGGGCTCTCTCCTCCTGCGGTGAGCAGAGGGCACCTGTGCAGGCAGCAGGCTCCTCGGTGCTCTGTGGAGTCAGGGCTGACTGGTGAGGGAACAGCAGCCCAGCACTCTTCCCCTCTCAGGAGAGGGGCTGCTAGGCCCATCACCTCGCTCTGATTTCAGCGGTGAGAAGGGCTGTGTTGGCCTGCAGGTGTGAATGAGGACCTACATGTTCGTGGTCAGTAGTCCCTGATTTCCCTCCCTTTTTTTTAAAAAATATATATTTTATTGATTTCAGAGAGGAAGGGAGAGGGAGAGAGAGAGAAACATCAATGATGAGAAGGAGTCATTGATTGGCTGCCTCCTGCACGCCCCTCACTGGGGATCAAGCCCACAACCTGGGCATGTGCCCCTGACCGGAAGCGAACCTGGGACCCTTCAGTCTGCAGGCCGACGCTCTATCCACTGAGCCAAACCAGCTGGGGCTATTATGTCCTCTTGTTAGCTTGGAAGGTTTACTAAACTTTTCTGTTCTATTAATGGCTACTTACTTTTCACTGACCTCAAAAGCAGACAGAGATTTCGTTACTATTACTTGAAAACAGGATACCAATTACAAAGCAGCTCCCCGAGCAATGCTGTGGTCTGCACCTTTCCCACAAAGACAAAATGTCAGGCTACGCTCATTGCTCACCCCATTCTACGTCTGCCTTATAAAGGCCATGAGAATACTCACATCTCCACCTCCTCCCCCAACCCTGAAGACACATAGGGTTGGCTAAGATATAAATATTGAGGTATTTAAATATTGAGCCATTATTAAAATGTCTCTTCTGGTATGTCCCTTCTGTTAGAAGAGTATTATTTATGTCAGTCTATATTGTTTAAATTGGGTCTAATTTTATACACATATATATTTTGTTTATATATAATCTACACTAATAAAAGAGAAACATACAAACTAACCATCACTCTGTCACCCTGCCACTCTGCTACACCCACCAGTCAATCAGACTGACTATGCAAATTAACCCAACAAAGATGGCGGTTAATTTGCATACGCAGGTGTGGAGCAAAGACTGAAGATGGCGGCGGCCACGGAGCTGGAACAAGCAGGAGGCTTGGGTTGCTCCCGGCGACAAGAGGAAGCCAAGCTTCCCGCCAGCCCTGGACTCCACTCAAGGAGGGGCTGGGAGCAGCCGGAGCGGAGAAGCCAAGCCTCGCTGCTGCGGCCGGACCAAAGGCCTGGGCCCGGCTGCCGGAGGAAAACCGGTGCCGGCAGCCAGGGGAAGGCAGGCCTATTGCACGAATCTTCGTGCAACTGGCCACTAGTCCTTTATAATAAAAGGGTAATATGCAAATAGGCCGAATGACAGAACAACCGAACAACCAATCAAAGTGTAATACAGTAGGTCCTCGGGTTACGTCGGAGATCCGTTCCTACAGCGCGACGTAATGCGATTTTTGCTGTAAGCCTACATAAGCACCTATGTCACTCACATGGAGCATATACACAGCAGTAATGAAGTGAAACAGTAAAAAAAATTTAAAAGAAAGAACAATTCCTGATCTTTACTTGTGGTAAATAATAAAAAACATAAAGCACATATGTACATACGTGGAAATGACGGAACTTTTTTTTTTATATAAATAAATGGGAGATGGCAATGTAACCACGAAATGAGGTAGGGTCCAACATAACCTGAGGACTGTCTGTATGCTAATGATATGCTAAGGCTGCTCAACCACTTGCTGTGACGTACACTGACCACCAGGGGGCAGATACTCCGACCGGTAGGTTAGCTTGCTGCTGGGGTCCGGCCGATCTGGACTGAGTGAGATGGGCTGGACACACCCTAGAACCCTCCCATAGTCCCTCCCCGACCCGATCATGCACCAGTGGGGTCCCTCAGCCTGGCCTGCGCCCTCTCCCAATCCAGGACCCCTCGGGGGATGTTGGAGAGCTGGTTTCAGCCCGATCCCGCAGGCCGCTCCCCTTGGGAGGGCGCCAGACACAGGGTTCATGGCTAGCGAGCGCTGCAGCAGGGCGAGCCTTGCCTGATCGGGATTGTTTGGGTACGAGCCCACAGCAGGCACAGTGGGGCCGGAATGAGCAGGAGTGGCAGGTAGGAGCTGCAGGCGGCGTTGGACTGTAGGTTTTGGCCAGATCCCTGCAGGCCACCCAGAAGGACCCTACCCATGCACAAATTCATGCACCGGGCCTCTAGTGTCATATAATTACATATAACACATATGCACACCTGTGTACGTACACATGCAGAGAAGAAAAGAAACAGAGCACATGCCCATGGCAGGTCTGTCACTCACCAGTTTCCTTGCCACTGCATCCTCCCTCATCTTAAAGTTCCTGTTCTAGTTCATCTGTTGTGTGGCTGGAGTCCTTGCTCATATTTCCCCAGACTGGGCTCTGAGGGAAACAGCCCAGCTACCTGGCTGGGGTATGCTTCTCGGCTTGCACCTCTCCTAGGTGTAATCTCTAGACGTTGTCATCACTGTGTTACACGGGGAATGTGAGTTAGGTTCACCCCACATTCACCGTTTTCTTGCTCGCCATTCCTTCCTGCATTTCTGGCCTTCCTCCTGGCATTCACCTTCCTTCTGCCCGAGGTACAGGCTTTAGAACAGGGGTGGGCAAACTTTTTGACTCGAGGGCCACAATGGGTTCTTAAACTGGACCGGAGGGCCGGAACAAAAGCATGGATGGAGTGTTTGTGTGAACTAATATAAATTCAAAGTAAACATCATTACATAAAAGGGTATGGTCTTTTTTATTTTTTTTAGTTTTATTCATTTCAAACAGGCCGGATCCGGCCCGTGGGCTGTAGTTTGCCCACGGCTGCTTTAGAATGTCCTTGTGAGGATTTTCTAATTACAGACTCTCTCATGCTCCCTGTTTCTCAAAGTCTGTACTTCCACCTCATTTCTGAAAGGCATTTGTGCCAGGTATAATGTTCTAGGTTGGCAGTTGTCACACTGAAAATATGATTTCACTGTGTGCTATTTTCATGTATCACTGCTAAGAAGCTAGCTGTTAGCCTGCCATTCTTTTTAATGTTTTCTCTGGCTGACTTTAAGCTCTTCTATTTTACCTTCTTCACTATGATGTATCCTCTTTTTATTGACTCTTATTTTGGATTTGTTGGAATCTTTGTCTGTGGATTAGTCTTTCGTCCACCCTGGAAAATGCTCTTCAAATACGACCTCTGCCCATTCTCCTTCTGTCCTTCTGTACTGGTTAAGCCTGTATCTCTAGCTCCACATTTCTCAGGCTCTACCTATATGCTATTAATCTATCTCTGTGCTACATGTGGAAGAATTTTTTCTGACTTACTGTCTAAGTTTTAAGATTTTCATTTATTATGTGCTCATTTCTCAAAATTCCATGCTCTGCTTAGAATCTGCTATGTCACTTTATAGCGTCCTACCCCTTGCAGGTATTTCCAAGCTTTTATTTCTTTACATATAATGAGCATAATTGCTTTAAAATCTCAACTGATAACCCTCGTATCTGAGGAGCGTGAGGGTGTGTTTCCACGGCCTCCCGACCAGTGCTCACTCCTGGTGCCTTTCCTCCTGTGGGCGGTGAGCTGTGACTGAGTGCTGCCTCCAACCATTGTGGGTGAGATCCTCTGAGGCCAATGCAGGGTCTGCCTCTGGGGAGGATCTTACGGCTCCTGCAGGGACCTGGGGGTACTATCACCCAGAACCCTTGAAACGCAATCCATCGGCTGAGGTTTCTTGACTACCTCTACTTCACTGATATAAATTTGGGCTACAAATCTGGTTCTCTCCCCGATTCCCAAGGCAACCAGCGGCCCAACGCCTCCAGCCTTTGGGCTTAGGAGAAACCAGTTGACCGGATCTGGGGGTGGAGAGAAGGGAGCTGTGTTTGGGTTGCCTTATTTCCAGGATCCTTGAACTGACTTTAAGGCATTATAACAACACTCCTGTGGTATAACTATTTTTTTAATTTATTTCAGAGTGGGAGGGAGAGGGAAAGAGAAACATCAATGATGAGAGAGAATCATTGATTGGCTGCCTCCTGCACGCATGTTCCACACCGGGGATCAAACCTGCAACCCGGGCATGTGCCCTTGACTGGGAATTGAACCATGACCTCCTGGTTCCTAGGTCAACGCTCAACCACTGAGCCACGCGGGCTGGGCTGGTATAACTTTTAATGACTATGCCATTAAAGATGACTTTACCAGGCATAGGTTTTTTGTTTGGTTTTTGTTTGTTTATTAATCCTCACCTGGGGATATTTTTTCCATTGATTTTTAGACCGAAAGTGGAAGGGAGGGGATGAAAGTGGGGGAGGAAGGGAAGGCAGAGAGAGAGAGAAACATCGATGTGAGAGAGACACATCAACTGGTTGCCTCCCACATGTGCTCCAATCAGGACCGGGGCTGGGGTCGAGGTCGAGCCTGCAACCCAGGTACGTGCCCTTGACCGGGAATTGAAACTGCCATCTTTCTGTGCACGGGCCGACACACTAAACCATGGAGACACACAGCCATGACAACAAGGCATACCTTGGAAAGATTAAGAAAGCTAGGTACTGTAGATGTAATCATTACCAGGTCATAGAATTAAACCAAAATGGAACACAGCACAAGGACAACACATTTTTTCTCTTCAAGTTCATTCAGTTGCTCGCTCTGAGCTAAGATAACATACTCCCTCACGCTGGACCACACCTGCATAATGAAGAAGGGGTACATACCCTTGTAAAGCCGGCACTAATGAGGGGCATCACAGACTCTTCTCCATCCCGCCTTCAAAAGGACAGAGCAAGTGGTTAGAGACGATTCTTATCAAGTCCAGCGCACCTCTTTGTGCACTGATTCTCGCAACACGGTGACTGTCCTATAATGAGTACTTTTAGATGAATTAGAGTAACATACAAATCAAAAGTATACAATTAAAAAGTTTTCTGTTTTAGTTTCATAGGTAGCTTTTTTGACAGTATATATTAATAGTTGAAATATAGCAAGTTACACTAACAGTAGAATACAGGAGTAACCACATTATCTATTTGATATGTAAACATTTTAAACTAAATTCTTTCCTATTTTATTCTACTGCCTGTTTATTTTATTTTGTAACCCAATAGGGAAGGTAAAACAGGTAAAGGGGTCAATACTATGGTGATAGAAGGAAACTAGAGTTTGGCCATGAGCAAGATGTGGTATATACAGATGTTGCACACCTGAAATGTATACAATGTTATAAGCCAATAAATAATTTAAAAAGCCCTTCTCCCCGCAACAAGGCTCAGAGAAATAGTTTAAAGGGCACAGCAACGTTTCTCCATCTATAAAAATATGTAAGCTAAGTAACATTTATTTGAATACTGCCCTCCTCACGTATTTTTATCCTTTCCTTACTTCCAACTTAAGGAGGAAATGGAAGATTTTTTCCATTTATGTATAATTCTAAATCTTCACATATATATTTGGAGTTAGGTGCCCTGGGAGGATAGCCCTGGAAAACATGGAATTCTCTAGTGCTGTGCGTATTTGTAAAGTGAAAGGCAGTCCAAGTATGAGAGTAGAAACTCTCACATGAAATTAACTCTCAAAGCAAAAGAAAATAAGAAAAAACAAAAAAGAAAGGGCCAAACTAGAAGGGTCACGCCGGACAGCCTGCAAGCTGTTATTCAGGCCGCTGTTAAGAGCAAGCATGATGTTAACACACAAATTTCAAAGTAAAAAAAAAAAAAAAAGCTTACCTGCGTACTACACCAACAATAACTGTGTTTTCTGAAACTTGTGTTGCTCGAATAGACCTATCAAGAAAACAAATTTTAAAATGAATTTAAAACAATTCTTTAAAAACTAAAAACACTTAGCAGTTCTGGCGGAACAATGGAAGCAGGGAGAGGACGAGGGGAGCACAGGCTCCCTGCACTCTGGACCCCTCTTGGCTGCGTTGGCCCTTTCCGCTCTCCCGGCTTCCGACTTCTCTGCCATCTTCACTTTGGCTCTTTAACTGCGGGGTCAGTCCTGCCTCCTGGGTTTTCTGACAGGAGCTGGGAGGAGGTGCTGATAACAGGCACCGCACAGCATGGCCGGTGACAGTCGCACAAGCGGCTGACTTGCCTCGGCCCCTCCCAGCTGGCGGCCGGAAGGACCTTCCATTCTGCTCTCGCCGCTCACCTGCACAGAACACGCCAGGTCTCAGCTGCCGAGGGGTGAAGTCCAAGGCCTTGGGCTCAGCCCACGAAGCCCACATGACTGGGCTCATGCCCGCAGCCCGAGCCCCATCCCATCCCTCCCCGGCCCAGCAGCCATCCAGCCCACCGGAGTAGGAGCCCCAGACACCCTGCCTGCCCCTACAAATGCTGCTCCCTCTACCTGGAACGTTTCCCCCTCTTCCTTCCCAATCTCCTGCCCGTCCGTTAGGACTCAGCCCAAATGTCCCGTGTGGAGCCGCCCTGACATGGGCCCTGCAGCACCTGGATGCGCACCCTCTCTGGGCACAGATGTGCCTGTACTGACACCACTCTCTGGTCCTGCCAACTACGGCCTCCGCTCCTCAGAGGCAAGACCCACAGCTCCTCACCCATGTGGCTCTAATACCAAATGCGTGCCCAGAACTGAGGAGACATGCACGATAGGGTTCCTCGACTGGAAGTATAGCAGACAGAGTAACTGGCCTTCCACAAGGCACCTGATCAAGTGTAAGGCGTTATAAGCATCCCCAACAAAGAGATACAGGTGAAAGCTAGTCGTTTAGACAAGTCAGCAACTGCTGAAAGGCCTTCCACAGGCCGTGTGAGTAGGTGCCCAAACGGAGGCTGACGGGAAGGCAGGGCTCTGCAGGGCGACACTCGCGGGCGTTGTGTTAAGTTGGCGAGGAGAGAGCGAGCGAGCGGATCAGGAGGGAGAGCCTGGAAATCAACCAGGGAAGGGCCAGAATCAACACAAAACTGACTCGGGAAACCAGAGTAAGCAACCCCGTTCACATTCCTTATTTTAAAATTATATAGAATTTTAATCTATATATTAAGAAAAATTTGCTAGATGAATTAATCCAATTTTTTAGAAAATTCCCCAAATGTGTAACAATTGTACATTTTCCTCCCTTAACACATTGCTTGCGGGTAGTTTTTATCGCGCGCTAACAGGTGGCGCGGGCCATTTTTGCTAATTTTTTCCGCAAATGGCAACGTTCAGTAAAATTACGATAACTTTAGTTTACGTATTTATATGTTACCCGCATTCTACTGCTAGTCTATAAAAAACGTATTAATACCTGTCCCGTGCTCTACTACACTGGTAGAACGTATAAATACGTAAAACGTGTAAACACGTTTCCCGCATACAATGTGTTAACAGGTAGAGCATAATTCTGTGTTCTGTATATTTTACCACAATAAAAAAGTGCAGCGTAACTATAACCTAACCTTTATTTTACAACAAGGATGGCCCAGCAGCATATGATTTTCCATCATCCAGACACGCCTGTGGCTAGGGCTGGGCCTGGACACGATGGGAAAGAAGCCCAGAATTCTCTCATATTACTGATATTCTGCAAGTATTTTAAACGAGGCACATTCACCTAACGCTAGAGGACAACCGTCAAACATATGGAAAGTTATAATAACTTGTTGCAACAATATGCAGGTGACAGCTGTGGTTAGTTACATATTAGATTTCATCCTAACACTTAATGGTTAGAATTCATCCTTTCTTACCATTTTTAACAAAGCAAAGAGAAACAAAGCCAGAGGCAAAGACCAGCTGGTAAAGATCAGTCCTAGAATAGCCACTTGGCCTGGAGGTCAAACCCTCCCTGGAATTAGCTACAACAATCAAGATTTAACTATAAGACTGCGAACAAAGACCACTAGGGGGTGCACCAAGGAAGCATAACAAAATGCGGAGACAAAGAAACAGGACAAAATTGTCAATGGAAGATATAGAGTTCAGAACCACACTTTTAAGGTCTCTCAAGAACTGTTTAGAAGCCGCCGATAAACTTAATGAGATCTACAAGAAAACTAATAAGACCCTCGATCTTATATTGGGGAACCAACTAGAAATTAAGCATACACAGACTGAAATAACGAATATTATACAGACTCCCGACAGCAGACCAGAGGAGCGCAAGAATCAAGTCAATGATTTGAAATGCGAGGAAGCAAAAAACACCCAACCGGAAAAGCAAAATGAAAAAAGAATCCAAAAATGCGAGGATAGTGTAAGGAGCCTCTGGGACAGCTTCAAGCGTACCAACATCAGAATTATAGGGGTGCCAGAAGATGAGAGAGAGCAAGATATTGAAAACCTATTTGAAGAAATAATGACAGAAAACTTCCCCCACCTGGTGAAAGAAATGGACTTACAGGTCCAAGAAGCGCGGAGAACCCCAAACAAAAGGAATCCAAAGAGGACCACACCAAGACACATCATAATTAAAATGCCAAGAGCAAAAGATAAAGAGAGAATCTTAAAAACAGCAAGAGAAAGAAACTCAGTTACCTACAAGGGAGTACCCATACGACTGTCAGCTGATTTCTCAACAGAAACTTTGCAGGCCAGAAGGGAGTGGCAAGAAATATTCAAAGTGATGAATACCAAGAACCTACAACCAAGATTACTTTATCCAGCAAAGCTATCATTCAGAATTGAAGGTCAGATAAAGAGCTTCACAGATAAGGAAAAGCTAAAGGAGTTCATCACCACCAAACCAGGATTATATGAAATGCTGAAAGGTATCCTTTAAGAAGAGGAAGAGGAAGAAAAAGGTAAAGATACAAATTATGAACAACAAATATGCATCTATCAACAAGTGAATCTAAGAATCAAGTGAATAAATAATCTGATGAACAGAATGAACTGTTGATTATAATAGAATCAGGGACATAGAAAGGGAATGGACTGACTATTCCTGGGGGGGAAAGGGGTGTGGGAGATGCGGGAAGAGACTGGACAAAAATCGTGCACCTATGGATGAGGACAGTGGGTGGGGAGTGAGGGCGGAGGGTGGGGCGGGAACTGGGAGGAGGGGAGTTATGGGGGGAAAAAAAAGAGGAACAAATGTAATAATCTGAACAATAAAGATTTAATTAAAAAAAAAATAAAATTAAAAAAAAAAAAAAAAAGATCAGTCCTAGAAATAATGCTATGGTCTTGTTTACTTTACATGCATGGAAGGCAACTTAAAGGACACTGAATTTAACTTAATATATTTCTGGGTGGCATTACTGTCACAAGCGCCCGGCCCACTTAGCACGTGGGCCCGAGTCTCGGGCTTACCTGCACAGCGTCAGGGCGTCCAGCTGCTGGGGGTTTCTGTGGTCGATGATGATGATGTCATGATTTGCAGCCAGGAAACAGGTCAGGACAGCCTGGACCTCCAGGGCCACCATGTACTTAAACCCTGCTTTTTCACACGCCTTACGAAATCCTTTACACTGGCTGTCGTCTTTGATAAACACTAAAAGCACCTGAATCAAAAAAGCATAAACACTTAAAAAAAAAAGAGGTTGGAATATCATTTCTTAACCAGCCACAGAAAACTCCCATGTGTTTTAAGGCCAGCACACCGATGTGAACATAATCTGTTGATATAAACCGTCTCCCCCATGTAACTCAGGGGCCAGATCACTCGGCTCCTGGAAAGCTGGGCTATTCTATCTGGACGTCCTAGGCCAGTGGTCGGCAAACTCATTAGTCAACAGAGCCAAATATCAACAGTACGACGATTGAAATTTCTTTTGAGAGCCAAATTTTTTAAACTTAAACTATATAGGTAGGTACATTGTTATTAACTTAATTAGGGTCCTCCTAAGGTGTTGCGGCCAAAGGTAAACTGAGTTTGGGGGGGGGGATTAAGGAAAGACAGACAAGAGAATGAAAGCTGGGTCTCAGTGGACACTGCTCCCTGATGAGGAGACAGCGCCAGCGCCCACAAGCCGTGTCTTTATTTTATAGCAGATGCCGCAAGGCAAAGTAGGGGCATGATCAAGTTGTTTACAGCATTCTCATGAGTTCCAACCCTACTCAACTACATGCACCTGAACTCTACCACAAGGCATGTGGGGCCATGTGTTTGGACCATAGGTTCAAGCTTACAACCACAGCCATTGGCTATAATTGTGCTGGGAGGGCCCTGCCCTCCAGCTGGGACCTGCACGTGGCAATGAGAGGACCCTGTCCTTTCATTAGTCCGAGGCTTGAACCTGGCTGAAACACTTTAATCATGCCCCATACTAAGGCTTAGGAAGAGCCACACTCAAGGGGCCAAAGAGCCGCATGTCGCTTGCGAGCCGCAGTTTGCCGACCACAGTCCTAGTGCATGAATCACATACTCCTTTTGCTAGTAAACCTCTGGCAGAATGCAACCAAGGACTGATCAAGCACTTTATCTTGAAATTAAACCAATTAAACCACACAAATATTTGTTTTAGTTAACAGTAAGTTAACTAGGCAGTCCTTAGATGGGAAATGCTAATATTTCAGTCAAACTCCTGGAACACTTAATACTTTATATAATGTATTTTTTATTTTATTTTTTAAACATATTTTATTGATTTTTTACAGAGAGGAGGGGAGAGGGATAGAGAGAAACATCAATGAGAGAGGAACATTGATCAGCTGCCTCTTGCACACCTCCCACTGGGGATGTGCCTGCAACCAAGGTACATGCCCTTGACTGGAATCGAACCTGGGACCCTTGAGTCCGCAGACCAACGCTCTATCCGCTGAGCCAAACCCGTTAGGGCTATATAATGTATTTAAATGTTCTGACTCAATGTAATGCCTCCAAATTGAAAAAAAAAAAAAAAAATCCTATCTAATAATAGACAAGCATGGTAATTGACCGTACCTTCGCTATGCCTCCCATTGGCTAATCAGCGTGATATGCAAATTAACCGCCAACAACTTTGGCGGCTAATTTGCATACCGCAGGCAGGGTGGGACAGCGCCATCCCGCCTGCCCTGCCACCATCTGGGCCTGCTATCTGCGATCCTGGGCGGCGGGGGTCCCGTGTGTGACCCACCTGGGGCGGCCGGGTGGGGCAGCAGCAATCTGCTGGCCCGCCCAGGAGTCCTGTGTGTGACCCGGGGAGGCACGCCAACCCCCGGATTGGCCCTGCCCTGTGCGCGAGGCCCCAAGACCCGATCGGCCCTGCCCTGTGCGCGACCCGGGGCAGCGCCCCAACACCCTGATCAGCCCTGCCCTGTGTGCGACCGGGGGCAGCACCCCAACCCCCCATCGGCCCTGCCCTGTGCGCGACCCGGGGAGGCGGGGCAGGCACCTAGAGATCGGGCCTGCCATCTGCCACCTGGGGAGCAGGCCTAAGTCAGCAGGTGGTTATCTCCTGAGGGGTTCCAGACTGTGAGAGGGCACAAGTGGGGCTGAGGGACACCCCCCTCTCCCCGCCAGTGCACAAATTTTTGTGCACTGGGCCTCTAGTTTTGATTAAAAGAGAAAATTTAAAGCAGACAGAAATATTATAGTTCACAACCTGTCAGTGAAGTGACACAGGAATAGCACCAGGAGCAAGAGGCAGTGTCTGTGCCTGGGATGCCGCTGGCTGACCCCAGGCCTGGCCTGGGTGCGGTGAGGCCTGATCTGCTGCTCCCCCTATCCAGCCAGCCCCCCCACCCCCCATAGATGTGGTTCAGCAGCACAAAGCAGCATCCCCTTTAGACCCAGACTGACTCCTGGGAGCCAGGGTGATAAGGGAGAGGCAGGGCAGCCTGTGAGAAAGAGGCCGCAGAGCTGAGAGAAACCCTGTGCCCAAGGCTTACTCGCTCCTCTAAGCTGACCATGTGCACAAATACTCCAAGTGCAAAGAACTAAGAGAGCACATCTCTGCTAGTCCCTTCCCATTTAAAAAGAATGAAACAGTGCACATGTGTCTGTGTGTGGGAAACATCAAAGAACTTTGGGGCTAAATTTCAATTGGCTGTTTCTGTCTAATATTTTGGATTAAATAATTTACAGGTATTTTTCTCTGATAACAGCTATTCAGGAACACAGGGAAGCACATGCTTTTACGTTTTTATATCAGAAAATTTCAAACCTACAGGCAAGTTGTGAATGACAATGAATTCTAGTATACACTTCTTCTAGTTTCCTCAGTTGTTAAAATTCTGCCACCTTTTGCCCAGCCAGTGTGGCTCAGTGGTTGAGCATCGACCCATGAACTAGGAGGTCACGGTTCGATTCCCAGACAGGGAACATGCCCGGGTTCCAAACTTGATCCCCAGTTGGGGGCGTGCAGGAGGCAGCCAATTAATGATTCTTGCTTATCATTGATGCTCCTATCTCTCTCTCCTTCTCCCTTACTCCCTGAAATAAGAAAAAAAATTAAAATTTGCCACCTTTACTTTCTCCCCCTCCCCCACTCCCTCACTCCACACATGCCCGATTATACACATTCTTTATTTTACTGCTGAACTTTTGAAAGTAAGTCACAGACATTTCTTCATCTATAAATAGTCCAATGTGCATTTCTAAGAAACATACACTCTCTTAGATAACTATAGTACTGATATTATCTAACACAGAAGACGAATTTCAATGTATAACTTGAGGCCCTTTCCCTCCCCACCTCTTTAAAGGAAACCAACAGGAGAAAATGACAGCATGGTTTATAATTACCTGGAGTTGATCTGCATGAAACCTCATGGGGCCAAACTGCACGTGAGATGTTCGTCTCTGTAAGAAAAAGACTTGCTTAAACTTTCTGTCTCTAATCAGAGCTACAGATGGAACTGAAACTCCTAGAGAAAAATTACCGAGAGTGAATAATTATTACACAGAGGAACCCCAGGGGTCTCCTCAGAACCCGGGAAGGTGCAGCGCAGGGTGGGGAAGTGAACTGAGTGAGTCCCGGCTTTCCTTTTCCTCACTGTGTGTGACTTGTCATGAAACAAGAGTTAAGTAAGTAAGCTTCAAGTCTCCGTTTGAGAAAATCAACAGTACAAAATTAAGGAAAACAGGAAGAAAAAGTAAAGATAAAGGCAGTAATTAATGACAATATCAAATGCTAATGACTAGTACGGTTTTAAAAAAATACATGTATGTGAGTACACAGTGTTGGTCACCAGCTGAGGGCCCAGAGGAAAGTGTGGCTGGCTCAGGGCCAGAGCTTCCCTCCCGGGAACGACTGCACATGTTGCCCGAATGGGGTGAGGCAGCAGCTGGTGCAGGCCAAGGACAGCACAACCTTCTGTCTCACCTATGACAGCGACTCACCGCTGCATCCAGTGCAAGAAACAAAAGAAGCTACAGGTTAATTTTTTAGGAATGATGAATGCTGCCTCCGTGTAAGTTTAGAAGTATCTTTTTAAGACGTTCCTGTTTTGGCAGTTCTATTTTACCACCGAACACTTTATTTACTCAATGAGGCTGTGTTCTGACCTTACATCCTGTCTAGGGGTATGTCTGGCTCTCAGGACCTCTGTGGAGCAGTGGCCCAGTCAAGTCCAACAACTGCTTACCACGGCCGCCCCCCAAGTCACCACCCCCAGGAAATGTGATGACATTACTCCGTGAGCGGACGTCAGCCGTGGGCCCTCAAAGAATAAACAAATTCCCAGCGGCTCTGGATAGGGGATCGGAACTACCGGAATCCTTCTATTTGCCCTTTCTTTGTGTATGAAAGTCAGTATCAAACTGGCCTAATCTGCCCTCTTAATAATATTTACGTTTTACACAAACATTTAGAAGGGAAAATCATTTTCCAATTAACTTCAGTAATGTCGCTTGGATTTAATCTTTCAGCTTCAAAAGCAACTGGTATTTTTAGGTAACAGAAACAAACAGTATGTTCACAGGCTGATGCTGGTAAATCATACAGGTTGTTGCGTTTGGTCTTTTGGATTTTTAAATATTTATGTATTTATTAAGATTCAGTTATAAAAAGGATTGTAAAATTAGGACTATCAGATAAGGATGATGTCCATTTGTATTTTTAATATTTTAAAGTAATTTTCGTGAATATGGATGACAGAAACACGAACTAAATTATTAGAAGTTTTGATGAAACACATCAGACTTCTTTTTGCCTTTTTTTTCCCCCTAACTGACCTATCATTTAGATGTGACTCTAGAAGGCAAAGTTACTGGGTTATGAATCTTGATCATGGTGGGGGTGGGAGAGGAAATAAATAATTCCAACCTGTCTAAAATTTCTACACCCTGACCCTCCCTATTCCTTTGCCTGCTTTCATTCTCTGTGGCTCTTAGTCACCATTTACCACGTTACTGATTTTATTATTTATCTTCTTTTTTTAAAAAAAATGTATTTTATTGATTTTCTACAGAGAGGAAGGGAGAGGGATAGAGAGTTAGAAACATCGATGAGAGGGAAACACCGATCAGCTGCCTCCTGCACACCCCCCACTGGGGATGTGCCCGCAACCAAGGCACATGCCTTTGACCAGAATCGAACCTGGGACCCCTGAGTCCACAGGCCGACGCTCTATCCACTGAGCCAAACCAGTTAGGTCATTATTTATCTTCTTTATTGTCTGTCTCTCCTACTAGAATGTAAGTTCTATGAAGACAGGGATTTACCTGCTTCATTCGTTGTTCTACTTCCAATACCCAACAGCCTGGAACCAGCAAGCATTCAAAAAATATCTTTGAACGAGTGTTTACACAACAGTTACTCTTTTTGAATTCATCTAGAAATCATATTCATACCAGCTTTTACATATACATGTACATATTGTAGAATTTCCAGTTCTCAGAATAATTTCATATTCAGAGTATACTTCATAAAGGAACATGAAGGAATCTTACCACAAGAGAATCATGTGATCTCTCTCTCTTTCCTACATCCCCTTTATTAGGAACTAAAGTTATGCTGGGATAAGTTTACATTAATTGTACACAAACCTAGGAACCATAGTGAAGACTGAAGTCAGATTTTGTCCTGAGCCATACTATCTCCCCAGGCTGTGCCTGTACAGCCAGCGGCCGTTCTCTCTCTCTCCCTTTTTCTCTCTTTCAACAAAGAGTGGTCATTTGATCAAAGGGACACAGCCTGGACAAGAATCAGGGGACACCAGTTCTTAGCTCAGAAGAGTCAACATTAATCCAGCCGTGTGTGTGTGTGTGTGTGTGTGTGTGTGTGTGTGTGAACCACCCACTGCTATGTTATAAGCAAGCACAGAACTAGGTACCGGGAGTGCAAAGAACGAGTGTCTAACCCTGGCTATTCATAATTCTTAAAAAATTCATCTATAGCTTCTTTTGTTTCTTACACTAGATGCAGTGGTGAGTAGCGGCAGGAGCAACATAAACAATGACGGTGTGGTTCAGTTTTAACAGAGAAAGAAGGTTGTGTGCTGAATGCCTTGCTTCCAATCACATTTAAATCCCACTGAGTCCTTACCCTGTGAGTAAGGTGAACTCATTCCCTCCATTCCACTGGTGAAGAAACTGCAGCTAAGAGCGGTATGGTTAACAGCTGGTAAGGGGCAATGGTGGGGACAGGACACCATTCACTACAATTTAATTCCCGTGGTCTTTTCTTGTTTTTAATTTTTATTGATTGCACAGAGCAAGAAAAGGGAGGGAGGGAGCAAGGGAGGGTGGGAGAGAAGGAGGGGGGGGGCGGAGAGAAGGATTGATCAGCTGCTTCCTGCATGCCCCCCTACTGGGGATTGAGCCCACAACCCAGGCATGTGTCCCCAACCGGAATTGAACCTGGGGCCCTTCAGTCCACAGGCTGATGCTCTATCCTATGAGCCAAACAGGCCAGGACAATTTCCGTGGTCTTTTCATGCTCCCTTGAGAAAGACCTAAAACCACCCAACCCTAACCTCTAACTCAGTGATGGCAAACCTATGACACGCGTGTCAGAGGTGACACGCAAACTCATTTTGGGTGACACACATCGACAGAGACAAAAAATTGCATAATTCAAATATTTGTCTCTCGCAATGGCCAGAGTTGGGCATCACTCGAGTAATATTATTACTCACGTTACTCATAATCAATAATGCAATTCTAAAGCCGGATGTAAACATGTACATCAGTGTTGTGTAGCAAAGATACATAGTGAAAACATCCAAGATACATTGTTCCAATATTGACATTAATATAAAAAGGTTAAGAATTGCACTATAAAGAGATTAATCTTTACTCATGACATTTTATTTTTACTCGAGTGACAAAATGCCCAATTCTGGAAACGGCCTCGTTATTGTGAACATGTGCCTCGGGTAAGCTTCCCGTGCGTTCGGGTGCATTCGGCAAATGGATGCACGTGATCGTCATGTTCATTGGGAGACAGGAGTGAGAGGGTTAGGAAAAAAAAGATATACAGTGCAGCAGTGCTCGGTGAGACATTCTGCATGTCGGATAATTGATTACAGCACCATATATTTGTTGGCTATACATACTATCTTTGAATTGTTTTGCACCAGGAGTCAGTGCAACAACACTGCAAAAAGTTACTAGGTAAGAAACCTATCAACCTTTTATAAAAAACGCCGTGATTTATATTTATTTATTTTTGCAGCCTTGTGATGGAGAATCAAAAAAATAAAAAAGCAAGACTGAATGATAAAGGAAGTGGAAGTAGCAGTAGCCGACCCTTTCAAGACATATGGACCCAGTTGTACGGGATTGTCGACAGAAACAACAGATCATTGTGCATACTGTGTAATGAAACGGTAGAAAGCAGAATGTGGAATGTAAAGAGACATTTTGAAACTAATCATTGTCAGCTCTTGAAAAAAAGTATCGATGAAAGGAAGGAATACATTTCTAGGCAGCTACACCTCTATAAAAGTCAATCAAATTCCATCATTAAATTTGTAAGATGCTCTACAAATTTAACATCAGCAAGTTACTGTATTGCTCACTCCATAGCTCAGCATGGAAAAGCCCTCAGTGACGGAGAATTTATTAAGGAAACATTTCTAAGATGTGCACCAGCTCAATTTCACGATATGAAAAATAAAGATGATATTATTAAAAGAATTTGAGTTATCACTCAGCAGAAATACTATCAAAGACAGAATAATAGATCTTAACAAAAACGTACAACATCAATTAAAAAAAGACTTAAATAGTTGTAAATATTTTTCGATTTCTCTTGATGAAACTACTGATGTCACATCAAATGCTCGGTTGGCCATTATTGCTAGATATTCTGATGGTCTTACAATGAGAGAAGAGTTGATAAAGTTAGAATCAGTGCCAATAAGTACATTAGGAAACGAAATATGTAAGGTTGTTATAAAAACATTCAGTGACCTAAACACTGATATCTCTAAAATTGTGTCAGTCACGCCAGATGGGTAACCAAATTGGTGGGAAAAAATGTGGGATTCCTGAAATTGTTTATGGAAGCTATTACACATCCACTTGTACCTTTTCATTGCATTATCCATCAGGAGGTGTTGTGTGCCAAATCGGGATTCTCAGAATTGAATGATTTCATGTCAGTTGTAACAAAAATTATGAATTTTATAGCTTCTTGACCACTTCACAAGCGAGAATTTTCTGCACTTTTACAGGAAGTTGATTCAACCTACAGTGGACTACTGATGTTCAATAATGTGAGATGGCTGAGTTGAGGTAAAGTACTTGAGCGATTTGTGGAGGGAGTGCTTTGAAGAAATTACGGTATTTATTGAGAATAAGGATCTGGCAAAATTTCCTCAGATCAATGATCCTAAGTCGGTCAGCAATTTGAT